GTTCCATAGGGGATCCACATTTCTACAAATGAAAAAAATAACACTTTTAATATCTGATTTGACAGCCCCTCCCTTTGCGTTAGTACATAAGACTTTGATATACTCTGATCTCTACAATCTCGTCCAACTTATTGAAACTCCGCAAAAACAAATTTGCAATTCGCAAAGACAAGAAAAACTGCACAAATGAGCTCCAAAATGAAAAAAAATCAATTTCAAAATTAAACAAGGATAGCCGGTTGTTGTGCAAATAGCACGGAATGTTCTGACCTCCCTGATTTTAAAAAATAAGAACCCTCACAATAAAAAAAATTAAACACATGCTCATAACAACTTTTTCGCTCATTACTCAAACTTATTAAGACGAAAAAAAGAAAAAGAAACAATTTTGTTTAACAAATCGAGTTGGCGAGATCACCAACAACAAAAACAAAATTGCAAATAGGACAGATATTTAAAGAAACAAAGTCGAATTTTTGGAAAACCTGAATGAGTAAAACTTCGAGTCTACAAAATTTTTGAGTGACGCACGCCAATTAGGAGTCTGCATAATTGCTAAGCGACGCAAGCCAATTATGACGCATTAGCCGTCGATTTGAACATAGCCAACTGACAGTTGGAAAAGAGTAATCAACGCAAAAAACTGGAAAAAAACCACCGACTTGTTTTTTCAAAAATCTTCTACTTGTGAAAGATGGTTGTTCTTACTCAATGCAGGGACCACTTTATTTTAATAATCATGATTGTGAGTCAAATTGTAGTTACGAAGTTCAAAAATGCAAAAAGGGCGTGGTGCTTCTGCGAACTGCTGCTAATATTGAAAAAGGATCTGAAATAACGGTTAAGTACGGTAAGTCTTTTTTGAGACAATATAGAGTTCAGCCTGTGTCCTTACAGCAAGTATCATACATCAAAGCAGGTAGGCAAGGTAACGTCAAGACTCTCAATAAGAACGCGGTCTGGCAAAAGCTTTTGTCGTTACTGTGCGGAACAACGAACCGAACCTTGTGAGAATCAATGAGGTGTGTGAAGTAGAACAAAGTACTGTAGGCGTTTCCTTTAAGAATCTAGAAAATTCGAAAGTGGAAAACTTAAGCATTGAAAATAATCATGTTATTGAGGTAACAGAAATGACTGAATTAACAGAAAATGCAGGTGATCAATTAGTATGTATAAACAAAATACCAACAAGTTCAATAGACCATGATGAAATTCCCAATGTGACCCACTAACTCTGCGCTCAATTTAGATTCAAACATTGCTTCTGGATCGCGTAAGTCTTTCGAAACAAGTTTGGCGCAGTAAGTAGTTTATATAATAACGACATGTTTACCGCTGATTGCAACCTATGCCCTGTACCAGTTACACTCAGTAATGTAAACTTAAAGCAGCATTTCAGTTTGTTGCAGAAAAAAGAATTTACTTTTGACTGTCCTTTGGAGGGATGTGGAAGAAGTTATACGTGTTTTTCCACTTTCAATAGGCATATTGCAACATGAAACATACTTGGCTCTTAACCGATGTAAGCTAGCTAATGAAGTTTTGATGAATGATAATTCAAATGTTAAGTCCGATAACACAGCAATTTAAAATATAGGTTTAATCATTTTGGGTACGGTCGTGATATTGACGGAAAGCTGTCAGAAACCAGTTATGATAGAGTTAAGTGCATTTCAAGCAGAAGTATGACCAAATATTTACTCTACTCCGTTTTCTGCTTCTAATAATTGGCAATTTTATCCCGGTTAGGGATGATACATGATTGTTTTTGCTGGACTATTTGTATCTTTCTTTTCTAATGAATCTTGCCCTTTTAGAAGCCGATTATCAAGTTCTTGGCGTTTTAATTCGTAAGTTTCATCTGAATAATTTCTTTTCAGCTTAGAAACTTAAACAAGGAAAAACTGAAGTTATTGTTTCGAGCAACATTTGGCTGCATTCAGGGAGAAGTATCCAGCGGAGTCCATAACTTTCAATCAGCACAAATTGATCCGTTATCCTCGCATTCTTAAATCATCAGGACCCTTTTTGTATCAAAGTGTTCTGAAATACGAAAGACCTTTTTGTATCAAAGTGTTCTGAAATACGAAAGGAAACACATTTTTTATAAATCATGTAGCCGATAACGCAAACAATTTCAAAAATATATGTAAGAATATAGCTGTTAGACATCAGTTGAATCAATTTCGTGATTGGCGCGAGTATGTTCCCAGAAAATGCGAACGTGATTAATGTCTGGTGAGTTAATCCACTATTTTTAACCTAGAATTTTTTCAAACAATGAGATCTCTGAACCGCGAAGTGTTTTTGTTCAAGGGACCCGATACTCAGTTGACGATAAGCTAATTTTATTCATGGAAAATGCTGACCTTTAACACCAAATAAATCGTGGTCAAATTAAACGTACTTTAAGCTACAATGCTTCAATTTTTTTTCGTTTTTTCCAGACTTAAATTAGAACATTATGAGCACCATCCAAGATCGTTTTTGGTTACTCAGCCTCAGAAAGATAAAACTCAAGTTGTACGCCATGGAGAAGTTTTCGATTTTCATCCGCTATTGCTGCGTTATTGCATCCTTGCGTCTTGTCAATTTTTCACTTTGTCCTCCGCAATCGTCTTGAATTTAATAATTACGCGTCTTACTTTGAATCCTTCAGTTGTAGCTCATGTTGTGTTAAAAACTTCACCTATTGAATTGTTACTTGACTTTTAGAGAACCATTATGAGTGCCCGAAAACTTAACGCCCCACCTAAACTACTAGCCCCCGAAGAACAGTAAGAGAATGAAAATGTTAGCATGCTGCGTTATTGGTTTATGTTATGACTGTAAATTGTAAGGTCTTTTTGGACGACAAAATTCTGTTTGTTGGCGATTCAAATATGAAATATGCTTATAAGGCTACGAAAGACTTTGATCTATTTAATAAACATAAGATAGCTGTAAACAGTAGATCAGGAAGATGCGCTCGACACCTTCACTCTCTCTCTATCCAGAAATCGTGTGGTTTAAATACATCAAAATAATAGTTGCTAATGATGGTTTCAGTAAAACGGAGAATGCACATTTAAATAAAACATATAAAGATTTGCGTGACCGTATACCTGAGTTAAACACAAAGTAGTAAGTGAATTTGTTGAACTACTTCCGAAGAAAGACCATAATGCGGAAGCTCTGAAGGCAATCAACAGAAAACTGAAGGAATCTTTAGCCTCTGATATCATCCCAAACAACTCTATTTTTCCTTGTAACTTTAGAGGCGACAAACTCTACCATCTGAAACCGGAATTTTTGGACAAACTTGCAAAGTTAATGGCCAACTGTTGTAGAACTATGATCGAAAAATTCGTAAAGAAGGAAATGTAAAAATTACTAAAACAATCTTCCCACTTTAAAAAACAAAGACAAGGTCGCCCAAAGTAATTTCAACAAAGTCGTTTCCAATTTGAAATGAATTATGATTTGATAACACTTTTTCATTTTTAACTTTCAGCTGTAACTTCAACAAAGGCGTTTCGAACTTGAAACTTTGATTTGAATTGTTTTGATAACACTTTTTTCAGTTCAACTTTGAGGTTCGACTTCAAAAAAGGCTAATTTATCTTGAAACTTTGAATTGAATTGTTACTTGATACCACTTTTCAGATTTTATTGTTGAGCGTTACGTTAAACAAAAGTGGTATTGACTTGAGTCTTCGAAATGAATTGTGACTTCATATCACTTTTTTGCTTTTAACCTTTAGCTGTAACTTCAACAAAGGCGCTTACAATTTGAAACTTTGAATTGAATTGTGACTTGATAACCCTTTTTAAATTCATTAGCTGTAACTTCAACAAAGTCGCTTCCAACTTGAAACTTTGAATTGAATTGTGACTTGTTACCGCTTTTTTAATTTTACTTTTGAGCTATAACTTCAACAAAGTCGGTTCCAAATTGAAACTTTGAATCGAATTGAATTGAAATTACTTTTTTAATTTCAACTTTGAGCTTTAACTTCAACAAAGTCGCTTCCAATTTGAAATTTTGAATTGAATTGTGACTTGATAACACTTTTTCAATTTTATCTTTGAGGTTTAACTTCAACAAAGGCTCTTTTATCTTGAAACTTTGAATTGAATTGTGACTTGATACCACTTTTTCGATTTTATTGTTGAGCGTTAGATTCAACAAAGGTTGTTTTGACTTAAGTCTTCGAAATGAATTTTGACTTCTTATCATTTTTTTGGTTTTAACTTTGAGCTTTAACTTCAACAAAGGCTCTACTAACTTGAAACTCTGAATTGAAATGTGACTTTATACCAATTTGTTTTAATTTTAACTTCGAACGGTAACTTAACAAAGTCGCTTCCAACTTGATACTTTGAATTGAATTGTGACTTGATACCACTTTTTTAATTTTACTTTTGAGCTGTAACTTCAACAAAATCGATTCCAAATTGAAACTTTGAATTGAATTGACTTGATATTATTTTTTTAATTTCAACTTTGAGCTTTAACTTCAACAAAGTCGCTTCCAATTTGAAATTTTGAATTGAATTGTGACTTGATACCACTTTTTCGATTTTATTGTTGAGCGTTAGGTTCAACAAAGGTGGTTTTGACTTGAGTCTTCGAAATGAATTGTGACTTCATATCATTTTTTTGGTTTTAGCTTTGAACTTCAACAAAGGCTCTACTAGCTTGAAACTTTGAATAGAATTGTGACTTGATACCACTTGTAAGATTAAATTGAAATATACCAAAAGTTCCACAAAATGAGCACTTTCATTTGCGACTTAGGTTAGAAAGAAATGCTTCGTAATGATGCACTACGCTTCGTTTGTGTAATTACCGTTAATTCCAACCAATGCCATGAAAAGATCGGGATAGTTTCGCAAAATGCATATCAGAATGGGGAATACCAGTGAGCATCATTAAATTGGCTCATGATTGATAAGTCACACTCTAGGAAAGTAATTGACAACTGATTTCAGAAGATCACCCTGCCGGGAATATGCTGTTTCGGTCAAGAGTCAAGTTAATTGGTTAATGGTTAAAACATCGGTTTTACTTTTTTAACTGGACATCACAGGTCAAGACCTGAAATATTCTTTAATTTTCAAACTTGCGGGCGGAGCGTGTACACAGATGCGCCCTCTTAATTTGATTGCATTAAATAATGCACAAGTTCAGATGCCTCCTTTGTTTATAAATAGTTATACTCTGCCAAAATTTACTATCGCATTATTTCATTTAAAAGACAGAGGGAATCGGAATCAGTTGTGTCCAGTTAAGTCAGGTGGGAGAGAATGCTTCTGGCGATGAGTGCCTCTTCCAGGCAGTCTATCTGTTCGCTGATTGGTTGAACGAGACTTATGAGCTCGTTGTATTTATAGCGGGGCTGTTCGTTCTCTCTAGCTTGAGACACCACAAAATTCTTGACTGCCAGGTCCAGTAGCGACATCATATCTACTCGCTGTTGAGATCCTAAAAACCACAAGTTGTAACATGCCAATTCCAGCAATTGACTTAAAACCAAGCAGTTGACATATCGGAAAATCGCATAAGAATAACATGGAATCAGACAAACTCAAAAACAAAATTATTAAAACATTGAAATCCACGTGCAACCATTCCAACATTCAAATTCTAGAAAGAGTAAAAATCACCGTCTAATATAGAAAACAATAGGGTGACCAATCTACACCGTCCGTTTTCTACACAAGTAAATTTTGTTTTCTTAGACAGCAGAAGAGAAGTACCTTTTCGATAAATCGAGACAACAAAACCGTATAACATCGAAAAATTAGCATCTTTTCGACTTATTTCTTGCCGTTTTTTGTGCATCTATTTCGAAGTTATGGTATAGTTCTAATAAAATCGTAGCCATTCTTTGAAACTATTTACCATTAAATCAATTTTCACTCATAGTTTTTTTTTGTTTTTAACAGCAATTGCAGAAAACAAGCATACCGAAAGCGATGAAATAAACTTGTTCCACTAGCTTCTCGGCCACTTGCCAAGAAATATGGCGCTAACTTTACCACCGAACCTTCAAATGAAGACTGACCTGGACTGAGTTCGTGCATGACGGAGAGGATGACGTCCAGAATGACTTTTTGGTCAGTAGTGTAGATCTTCTTCAGGGCAGCCTTGCTCGAGAAGATGTCAATCATCATCTTCAACACACTGCTCGAACTCCTACCACTGTTGGCTTCACAAGCAGCAGGGCCGCTAGGGTGAAAGTTCCATAGGGGATCCACATTTCTACGAATGAAAAAAATAACACTTTTAATATCTGATTTGACAGCCCCTCCCTTTGCGTTAGTACATAAGACTTTGATATACTCTGATCTCTACAATCTCGTCCAACTTATTGAAACTCCGCAAAAACAAATTTGCAATTCGCAAAGACAAGAAAAACTGCACAAATGAGCTCCAAAATGAAAAAAAAATCAATTTCAAAATTAAACAAGGATAGCCGGTTGTTGTGCAAATAGCACGGAATGTTCTGACCTCCCTGATTTTAAAAAATAAGAACCCTCACAATAAAAAAAATTAAACACATGCTCATAACAACTTTTTCGCTCATTACTCAAACTTATTAAGACGAAAAAAAGAAAAAGAAACAATTTTGTTTAACAAATCGAGTTGGCGAGATCACCAACAACAAAAACAAAATTGCAAATAGGACAGATATTTAAAGAAACAAAGTCGAATTTTTGGAAAACCTGAATGAGTAAAACTTCGAGTCTACAAAATTTTTGAGTGACGCACGCCAATTAGGAGTCTGCATAATTGCTAAGCGACGCAAGCCAATTATGACGCATTAGCCGTCGATTTGAACATAGCCAACTGACAGTTGGAAAAGAGTAATCAACGCAAAAAACTGGAAAAAAACCACCGACTTGTTTTTTCAAAAATCTTCTACTTGTGAAAGATGGTTGTTCTTACTCAATGCAGGGACCACTTTATTTTAATAATCATGATTGTGAGTCAAATTGTAGTTACGAAGTTCAAAAATGCAAAAAGGGCGTGGTGCTTCTGGGAACTGCTGCTAATATTGAAAAAGGATCTGAAATAACGGTTAAGTACGGTAAGTCTTTTTTGAGACAATATAGAGTTCAGCCTGTGTCCTTACAGCAAGTATCATACATCAAAGAGGTAGGCAAGGTAACGTCAAGACTCTCAATAAGAACGCGGTCTGGCAAAAGCTTTTGTCGTTACTGTGCGGAACAACGAACCGAACCTTGTGAGAATCAATGAGGTGTGTGAAGTAGAACAAAGTACTGTAGGCGTTTCCTTTAAGAATCTAGAAAATTCGAAAGTGGAAAACTTAAGCATTGAAAATAATCATGTTACTGAGGTAACAGAAATGACTGAATTAACAGAAAATGCAGGTGATCAATTAGTATGTATAAACAAAATACCAACAAGTTCAATAGACCATGATGAAATTCCCAATGTGACCCACTAACTCTGCGCTCAATTTAGATTCAAACATTGCTTCTGGATCGCGTAAGTCTTTCGAAACAAGTTTGGCGCAGTAAGTAGTTTATATAATAACGACATGTTTACCGCTGATTGCAACCTATGCCCTGTACCAGTTACACTCAGTAATGTAAACTTAAAGCAGCATTTCAGTTTGTTGCAGAAAAAAGAATTTACTTTTGACTGTCCTTTGGAGGGATGTGGAAGAAGTTATACGTGTTTTTCCACTTTCAATAGACATATTGCAACATGAAACATACTTGGCTCTTAACCGATGTAAGCTAGCTAATGAAGTTTTGATGAATGATAATTCAAATGTTAAGTCCGATAACACAGCAATTTAAAATATAGGTTTAATCATTTTGGGTACGGTCGTGATATTGACGGAAAGCTGTCAGAAACCAGTTATGATAGAGTTAAGTGCATTTCAAGCAGAAGTATGACCAAATATTTACTCTACTCCGTTTTCTGCTTCTAATAATTGGCAATTTTATCCCGGTTAGGGATGATACATGATTGTTTTTGCTGGACTATTTGTATCTTTCTTTTCTAATGAATCTTGCCCTTTTAGAAGCCGATTATCAAGTTCTTGGCGTTTTAATTCGTAAGTTTCATCTGAATAATTTCTTTTCAGCTTAGAAACTTAAACAAGGAAAAACTGAAGTTATGGTTTCGAGCAACATTTGGCTGCATTCAGGGAGAAGTATCCAGCGGAGTCCATAACTTTCAATCAGCACAAATTGATCCGTTATCCTCGCATTCTTAAATCATCAGGACCCTTTTTGTATCAAAGTGTTCTGAAATACGAAAGACCTTTTTGTATCAAAGTGTTCTGAAATACGAAAGGAAACACATTTTTTATAAATCATGTAGCCGATAACGCAAACAATTTCAAAAATATATGTAAGAATATAGCTGTTAGACATCAGTTGAATCAATTTCGTGATTGGCGCGAGTATGTTCCCAGAAAATGCGAACGTGATTAATGTCTGGTGAGTTAATCCACTATTTTTAACCTAGAATTTTTTCAAACAATGAGATCTCTGAACCGCGAAGTGTTTTTGTTCAAGGGACCCGATACTCAGTTGACGATAAGCTAATTTTATTCATGGAAAATGCTGACCTTTAACACCAAATAAATCGTGGTCAAATTAAACGTACTTTAAGCTACAATGCTTCAATTTTTTTTCGTTTTTTCCAGACTTAAATTAGAACATTATGAGCACCATCCAAGATCGTTTTTGGTTACTCAGCCTCAGAAAGATAAAACTCAAGTTGTACGCCATGGAGAAGTTTTCGATTTTCATCCGCTATTGCTGCGTTATTGCATCCTTGCGTCTTGTCAATTTTTCACTTTGTCCTCCGCAACCGTCTTGAATTTAATAATTACGCGTCTTACTTTGAATCCTTCAGTTGTAGCTCATGTTGTGTTAAAAACTTCACCTATTGAATTGTTACTTGACTTTTAGAGAACCATTATGAGTGCCCGAAAACTTAACGCCCCACCTAAACTACTAGCCCCCGAAGAACAGTAAGAGAATGAAAATGTTAGCATGCTGCGTTATTGGTTTATGTTATGACTGTAAATTGTAAGGTCTTTTTGGACGACAAAATTCTGTTTGTTGGCGATTCAAATATGAAATATGCTTATAAGGCTACGAAAGACTTTGATCTATTTAATAAACATAAGATAGCTGTAAACAGTAAATCAGGAAGATGCGCTCGACACCTTCACTCTCTCTATCCAGAAATCGTGTGGTTTAAATACATCAAAATAATAGTTGGTAATGATGGTTTCAGTAAAACGGAGAATGCACATTTAAATAAAACATATAAAGATTTGCGTGACCGTATACCTGAGTTAAACACAAAGTAGTAAGTGAATTTGTTGAACTACTTCCGAAGAAAGACCATAATGCGGAAGCTCTGAAGGCAATCAACAGAAAACTGAAGGAATCTTTAGCCTCTGATATCATCCCAAACAACTCTATTTTTCCTTGTAACTTTAGAGGCGACAAACTCTACCATCTGAAACCGGAATTTTTGGACAAACTTGCAAAGTTAATGGCCAACTGTTGTAGAACTATGATCGAAAAATTCGTAAAGAAGGAAATGTAAAAATTACTAAAACAATCCTCCCACTTTAAAAAAACAAAGACAAGGTCGCCCAAAGTAATTTCAACAAAGTCGTTTCCAATTTGAAATGAATTATGATTTGATAACACTTTTTCATTTTTAACTTTCAGCTGTAACTTCAACAAAGGCGTTTCGAACTTGAAACTTTGATTTGAATTGTTTTGATAACACTTTTTTCAGTTCAACTTTGAGGTTCGACTTCAAAAAAGGCTCATTTATCTTGAAACTTTGAATTGAATTGTTACTTGATACCACTTTTCAGATTTTATTGTTGAGCGTTACGTTAAACAAAAGTGGTATTGACTTGAGTCTTCGAAATGAATTGTGACTTCATATCACTTTTTTGCTTTTAACCTTTAGCTGTAACTTCAACAAAGGCGCTTACAATTTGAAACTTTGAATTGAATTGTGACTTGATAACTCTTTTTAAATTCATTTGAGCTGTAACTTCAACAAAGTCGCTTCCAACTTGAAACTTTGAATTGAATTGTGACTTGATACCGCTTTTTTAATTTTACTTTTGAGCTATAACTTCAACAAAGTCGGTTCCAAATTGAAACTTTGAATCGAATTGAAATTACTTTTTTAATTTCAACTTTGAGCTTTAACTTCAACAAAGTCGCTTCCAATTTGAAATTTTGAATTGAATTGTGACTTGATAACACTTTTTCAATTTTATCTTTGAGGTTTAACTTCAACAAAGGCTCTTTTATCTTGAAACTTTGAATTGAATTGTGACTTGATACCACTTTTTCGATTTTATTGTTGAGCGTTAGATTCAACAAAGGTTGTTTTGACTTAAGTCTTCGAAATGAATTTTGACTTCTTATCATTTTTTTGGTTTTAACTTTGAGCTTTAACTTCAACAAAGGCTCTACTAACTTGAAACTCTGAATTGAAATGTGACTTTATACCAACTTTTTCGTTTTAAATTTCAGCTTCAACTTCAGCAAAAACGCCTCCAACTTGGAACATTGAATTGAATTGTGACTTGATACCAATTTTTTTTAATTTTAACTTCGAACGGTAACTTAACAAAGTCGCTTCCAACTTGAAACTTTGAATTGAATTGTGACTTGATACCACTTTTTTAATTTTACTTTTGAGCTGTAACTTCAACAAAATCGATTCCAAATTGAAACTTTGAATTGAATTGACTTGATATTATTTTTTTAATTTCAACTTTGAGCTTTAACTTCAACAAAGTCGCTTCCAATTTGAAATTTTGAATTGAATTGTGACTTGATACCACTTTTTCGATTTTATTGTTGAGCGTTAGGTTCAACAAAGGTGGTTTTGACTTGAGTCTTCGAAATGAATTGTGACTTCATATCATTTTTTTGGTTTTAGCTTTGAACTTCAACAAAGGCTCTACTAGCTTGAAACTTTGAATAGAATTGTGACTTGATACCACTTGTAAGATTAAATTGAAATATACCAAAAGTTCCACAAAATGAGCACTTTCATTTGCGACTTAGGTTAGAAAGAAATGCTTCGTAATGATGCACTACGCTTCGTTTGTGTAATTACCGTTAATTCCAACCAATGCCATGAAAAGATCGGGATAGTTTCGCAAAATGCATATCAGAATGGGGAATACCAGTGAGCATCATTAAATTGGCTCATGATTGATAAGTCACACTCTAGGAAAGTAATTGACAACTGATTTCAGAAGATCACCCTGCCGGGAATATGCTGTTTCGGTCAAGAGTCAAGTTAATTGGTTAATGGTTAAAACATCGGTTTTACTTTTTTAACTGGACATCACAGGTCAAGACCTGAAATATTCTTTAATTTTCAAACTTGCGGGCGGAGCGTGTACACAGATGCGCCCTCTTAATTTGATTGCATTAAATAATGCACAAGTTCAGATGCCTCCTTTGTTTATAAATAGTTATACTCTGCCAAAATTTACTATCGCATTATTTCATTTAAAAGACAGAGGGAATCGGAATCAGTTGTGTCCAGTTAAGTCAGGTGGGAGAGAATGCTTCTGGCGATGAGTGCCTCTTCCAGGCAGTCTATCTGTTCGCTGATTGGTTGAACGAGACTTATGAGCTCGTTGTATTTATAGCGGGGCTGTTCGTTCTCTCTAGCTTGAGACACCACAAAATTCTTGACTGCCAGGTCCAGTAGCGACATCATATCTACTCGCTGTTGAGATCCTAAAAACCACAAGTTGTAACATGCCAATTCCAGCAATTGACTTAAAACCAAGCAGTTGACATATCGGAAAATTGCATAAGAATAACATGGAATCAGACAAACTCAAAAACAAAATTATTAAAACATTGAAATCCACGTGCAACCATTCCAACATTCAAATTCTAGAAAGAGTAAAAATCACCGTCTAATATAGAAAACAATAGGGTGACCAATCTACACCGTCCGTTTTCTACACAAGTAAATTTTGTTTTCTTAGACAGCAGAAGAGAAGTACCTTTTCGATAAATCGAGACAACAAAACCGTATAACATCGAAAAATTAGCATCTTTTCGACTTATTTCTTGCCGTTTTTTGTGCATCTATTTCGAAGTTATGGTATAGTTCTAATGAAATCGTAGCCATTCTTTGAAACTATTTACCATTAAATCAATTTTCACTCATAGTTTTTTTTTGTTTTTAACAGCAATTGCAGAAAACAAGCATACCGAAAGCGATGAAATAAACTTGTTCCACTAGCTTCTCGGCCACTTGCCAAGAAATATGGCGCTAACTTTACCACCGAACCTTCAAATGAAGACTGACCTGGACTGAGTTCGTGCATGACGGAGAGGATGACGTCCAGAATGACTTTTTGGTCAGTAGTGTAGATCTTCTTCAGGGCAGCCTTGCTCGAGAAGATGTCAATCATCATCTTCAACACACTGCTCGAACTCCTACCACTGTTGGATTCACAAGCAGCAGGGCCGCTAGGGTGAAAGTTCCATAGGGGATCCACATTTCTACAAATGAAAAAAATAACACTTTTAATATCTGATTTGACAGCCCCTCCCTTTGCGTTAGTACATAAGACTTTGATATACTCTGATCTCTACAATCTCGTCCAACTTATTGAAACTCCGCAAAAACAAATTTGCAATTCGCAAAGACAAGAAAAACTGCACAAATGAGCTCCAAAATGAAAAAAAAATCAATTTCAAAATTAAACAAGGATAGCCGGTTGTTGTGCAAATAGCACGGAATGTTCTGACCTCCCTGATTTTAAAAAATAAGAACCCTCACAATAAAAAAAATTAAACACATGCTCATAACAACTTTTTCGCTCATTACTCAAACTTATTAAGACGAAAAAAAAGAAAAAGAAACAATTTTGTTTAACAAATCGAGTTGGCGAGATCACCAACAACAAAAACAAAATTGCAAATAGGACAGATATTTAAAGAAACAAAGTCGAATTTTTGGAAAACCTGAATGAGTAAAACTTCGAGTCTACAAAATTTTTGAGTGACGCACGCCAATTAGGAGTCTGCATAATTGCTAAGCGACGCAAGCCAATTATGACGCATTAGCCGTCGATTTGAACATAGCCAACTGACAGTTGGAAAAGAGTAATCAACGCAAAAAACTGGAAAAAAACCACCGACTTGTTTTTTCAAAAATCTTCTACTTTTGAATTTCGAAAAAAAAAAATTAGTTTGCTTTAAAAACTTTTTGAATTTGTAGAACAATTTATGCTGCACACTTTTTTGTTTAAATTAACAAAACTTGAGATAACTGGATCAATAGGTATAACTTTTATTTCGATGGGAAATCTGATAATTAATATCATTTTCAAAATTGAAAGTCAATCACGTTTTTCGTGGCCTTTACAATTCTGCTGTTCAATAGTGGAGTTTGCCTTCCTTCTAACAAAAGAAATGTACTGAACTCAAAAAGAAATCACAAGTCAAACCGCCAAACTCAAAATTGAGCGTGAACGAATTTTAAGACTTTTTCCTACAAAAAAAAATCAACAAGACCTATACAAAATCTTTACTAAGTTCATTTCTCTTTTAAAAAAAAAATTTACCGACTAACATGCTTAAATTTACAGAGCGAACGCATTTTAACTAGTATACAAAAAATTTCATTAACTACATCTGACCCTGTCCAGGTTCGAACCCTTTTAATTTGTTACGGTCTCCTTCCCTACCTCTAAGCAACAGATCCATGATACCTTGAAGCTAAAGTGCTATTTGTATGTAATAGTCTGTTTTAATATCCTTAGCATTGGCTGTACTTAATAGCTGGTTATTGATCTTATGCACATACTGCACTAACAAAAAAAAACACTTTCAAAATGAACACTAACATTTGCGAATTAGGTTGGATAAAAAGAGTTCATACTACCACATAAGCCTTGCTTATGTAAACATGCACAAAAAATGAATATTACAGTAATTTTGTTGCTAACAGAGCCTTCAGGAAATGAGTCATGTTAACAAAGCTATTTACGCGAAACAAAAGGGTAGAAGCCGATTGCAATACACTTGCTATCGCATCTGTAATTTAAACAAGAACGCTCGTATATCAAGGCAAAGCCCTGAACGTTCCGACTGCCCCTTTATCCACATTGAATAGTTTTTGAGAAAAGAAAATATTGTAAGACTATAAATTTTCGACTTAATTAAAGATCAAGTGAAAAATGAGTTGTACGAAATTAATACGACCCATTAGCTCGCCTCAATTCAACTAGGAACGATTTTGTTGTGCGTGATAATTCAACAACACCCCCCAAGGAACCACCCCAAGCATAACACAGAGGCGAAGCTGCGTTTCGCAAACACTAGCAAGAACTCGGCAAAAGCAGCTCTACAAAGTGCAATAAGAAAAATTAGAAATAAGCCTCGAAATAGTAAGAAAAAATTCGTCTACGTCTAAGATTCGAACCTGCGACCTACAGATTAAGAGTCTTAAACACTAACCACTCAGCCACAGACGATGACTAGGCACCCAACGCTAGCAACCAACAAAGCAGAAAACAGATGCTATGCGATTACCAATGCTAGTGAAATTTCCAAATAAGTGAACACTATTAACGAACACTTTCATTTGCAAATTAGGTTAGAAAAAAGAAGGTTCGTAATAATACACCAAGCTGCTCGCTAGTGTAAACATTCCGTTTTTTTTCAAAAGTCAGAGCAAAAACCGTTGAAGTTTAATGTCCTATCTAAAACTAAAATGAAAGACACTTGTACTTGCAACTACAATGAAAGCTGTTTACAGCAGAAGCAAAATCTAGGTTGTTGCAACCAAGCCGATAAAAGTTAAGAAAACAAACGGAAGCCCGACAATTCAGTTTCAATGCAAATTTTTTTTTCAATTGCATTCATCTCAAAAAAAAACCGCCGAGACTCCATCCCTAGACCTTTAGGTATTTAGTCTAGGCCGAGTGGAAGGGAACCTCGAAGTTGTTAAGGTTCATTAGGAAAGAAAACATTAAGGAAGATAATTAACAGATTTGAAAGAAAAGTTGTTTACGGGAAAAAGTCTAAATCCCGATTACACAAACATGCTCTCGCAAGTTTAAACATAGCCAACTGACAGTTGGAAAAGAATAAAGAACGCAAGTAAACAGAAAAAATAATACACTGACTTCGTTGAAAAACTCTCGACTTTCGAATTTCAAAGAAAAGCTAGTTACCCTTTAAGCTCTTTGAATTTGTAGAACTATTTATGAATGGCGCTTTTCTGATAAAATTAACCCAACTTGAGAAAACTGGATCAATAGGTAAAGTTTTTATTCCGCTGGAAATCTAAAATTTAAATTTCATTTTATAAACTAGAAATCAAATCGTTCACGCTTTTTTGCGTCATTTCCACGTTCGTATTTGAAGAGTGCGTTTTACGTAACTTTCATCAGACGAATTTCAATTAACTCAAAAGGTGCACATATAACTAAGTGAATTCATGAATGCATTACAATGTATGAAGGCACATCTGCAGTTGTTAGAGCATTTCAAGACTTTTTCTTTAAAAAAATTCACCAAGACCTATATAACAGTCTTGAAAACGTTCATTTCTCAAAAACTAAAAAATATATATAGAAGTATCGAAAAAAAAAGAATTTTTCTTTATTTTGGTTTAAGTAAGGGCGACTGACTTCAACATATTTGTACTAAAACAATGTTTAAGTTGTATCAAGGCTAAGGTAAAGTTGTGGGAGGTCAGCCTCTCAACAAACGTCGCACACAGAGGCAAAGCTGCGCCTGAGAATACAAAAAGTAGCTCTATAAAGTGCAAAGAGAAAAATATAAAATAATCCTCAGATTAGTAAAAATCGGCTACGTCTCGGACTCGATCTCTGACCCATCGAGACCTAGAGATTATGAATCTCACGCACTAACCACTGCACCACGGACTTTTAAAAGATTACAAACACTAGCTACAAATAAAGCAGAGAACAGATACTATGAAGTTTCCAATGCTACAGATTGTGATTATAGCCAAAGTGCCATCAAATAATCAACACTTTGCCACCAAATAATGAACACTTTTATTTGCGAGCTAGGTTAGAAAATAAAGAATGTTCGTACTAATACACTAACGCTCGCAAGCTCTCTAGTGCAACATTTTAGCCCGCAAATCTTGATTTTTTTAGGGATGCGAACCACGACTAAATGGCGTTTAATATGAGACCACACTTGTTCACCTACGAGCTTTCCTTGAGGTAGGCAAAAGTGGCTGGAAAACAAATTGACCCGAATACAAAGTTCCTTCCCACTTTTCGAGAGTGGCCGGACCAAGAGCTTGAACCCATGTTTCCAGAATTAAAGTCCTTTTTTTTCAAAAACTTGGCAATGGCATTTAACATTCAATTACTTTTACTCATGCATTATATCTAGATATCAGTTTTCATCATGTGTCTATTATAATGAGATCAAATTACGCTGAATGTTAATCTCACCTGTTGAACAGAGATATGAGTTCAGCTAGAAATAGTTCAGTCGCCTCATGTGAAGGACATGCGACAAGTGCGGCCAAAAAAGTGTTCTGGGAGGGGTAGAGAAATCCGCAGTTCAGGGCTAGTAGAAGAGGCACTATGACGTCAGGTGAACTCTCTGATTTAGTGACGTCATATAATATGGACACTAATTGCTCTTTAGTAACACTGCTGACCAGCTGAGAAGCACCTGAAGATAGCAAATATGTTATTGTTCTTGCAACGAAGTGTAGCTCCCATTTTTACGATCAAGATCGCTTCTACTTGAGCGAAAAAACCAAAATACCATCTTTTCACCATTTGAAGAGGAACTGTTCTGCCCGTGCTTAATCATTACTTGCAGTTCTTAGACTAAATTTTGGCCGTGAAACAAGGCCCCACTGATAATGGTGGCCCTTAATCCTGGACCTTTCGACTGAGAGGCAGGTACCTTAGCTACTTCCTCTTACACACCTCAGCCAATCATCAGCAGGCACCTTAGAGACCTTAGCTACTAATTTACATGATTTTTAAATACAAGAAAACTTTTTTTGAGCGTTGTAAAAATGTCCACCTCATGTTGAGTTTCTGCTGCTAAATTATGAAATCACGCAAGCTTCTTCGTCTAAAAAGATCTTACCTTGAACAAGCACAATAGTTGCGAGCACGCTCCAAGCTTTAGACCGTGCACTCAGCCTCAATTTCAAACAGACCATAAATAGAGAACTGTTATGGACCAGGTGCCCACACACGTTGACATGTTCACAAGTCGACACTATGTCCAAGATGAAGCCCACGATAGAATCCATAATTGCCATTGTTCCAGGGTCACTAATTTGTAGGGAGAAGGTGTCTTTGTTTGACTTTTTCTGTTGATGCATACTGTTGGCTAGTGTTGTGATGTACAGAGAAAGGTAGTCCACTAAAGGCAGTACTGCTGACTTGTTGGCTAAAGTAAGAAAAAATGTAATATTTCATGCTAAATTTTGAAGCAAACTTTTTGCTGAGACATTTCCATAAATCACTATGAGTTCGTATTTTTCAATGAGCTCAGGTTAATTTTACCTCTGTGGAATACTGAATATTTCAAATTTCGCATCCAAAAGCCACCTGTCCAATATTGCTCCACTTATAATTGATAGAAAAAATAGTCGTTTAGGATTGGCCAAAATCATCTATTGCGCAAAATACACTAAAATGAGTACTGTGCGATTTAATTAAGTTTAATATAAATCACACAAAGTTAAAAAGTACTCACCCGAATTAGCAATTCGATCCAAAATCTCATCCCAGTTCTGATCCATCAAACTGACCAACTCCTCAATATTCTTAGCTCTCTCGTATTCATTACTTTCCCTCTCGGCCACGCCTATTTTAACTCCCATCCCATTCTCTCCTTCGGCAACTAACTCCCCTTCTCCGTTCGCTTCCGGCACCCCGTCTCCAAGTTCCGTAGACTCCTCATTACCATAGAGGATCGTTGTCAGAGCAAATGACAGAGAACTTAAAAGATTCTTGGCGGGGTCAACTTTCACGTGAAATAACTTGGACACAATTTCAGCGGTTAAAGCGTCGTTCACTTGACATGCGACACTCGCATTCACGAGTTGTGCGATATCCGAGAACGTTTTTTCGGCTGTTTTCTGGTCACATTTCGTATTTGCGCTAATGATATCGACTACATCTGAATAGATGCTGGAAATATTTACACTTATTGCATGCTCGCCCTCCATGTGGTCTTTTTTGACAGTATTGCTATTAGTTCTGGGTTGAACTTGACTAGAAGTGTTTGACCTTGACCTCATGTGACCTCTTCCGGTGACAGGCACTGTTTTCTGATTCGCTGGAACTCCTCTGCCGGCACGGGACGACTGAAAATGCCGAGATGAATTCATCGCAAAATCTTCTGCTAGTATCAAACAACTCTCTTCAAGGAAGTTATGACAGGCAGTTATTGGTGGATTTGAAGCTAAGCATGAAATTATTGATATGTGAAACAAAGTTCATTTCATTTCTCGACAAAAACTGACCATACTATGATGATTCAAACTGCGGTTTAGCCTTTCATCACGTCAGATCTGAAATACTATCAATGCGTTATCAGACAGGAACGTATAACGCTTGAGCAACAAACTTAAGAAGAGGACATTAGATGCATCAGCTGATTATATGCGCCACATTTCTTGTAATACGAGATAACTTTTAAAACATTAAACGATAAAAGATCATACGAGACCAGAGTTATAAGTTAAATAATACAAGGTTTTTTCGCGAGTACTGCAGGGTGCAGGGTTAACTGATAAAAGAGGCGAGTCAAGTCCAACAATCTGAAATATCCGACAAAACATAATCAAGCAGCAAAACAATATAAATGGCGTTCGCCGATTGCTGTTACTAAGTTAGGATTTTGATCAAGCAATAAGATTAAACGTTTTTTTGACGACAGTCCCAATACCCTATAAGTTAACAGGATCAGGGCTAGGGAACAATTAATTGGAACACAATTAATTGCAATTAATTGGATCCAATTGATTGTCGAGTCCATCCAATTCCAATGAAGTCCCGTCGGCTTGTTGTCCTAGACCCGGATAATAAATGCAATTAATTGCAATTATTTGAAACCCCACAATTAATTAATTGGAATTGGATGGACAATCAATTAATTGGATCCAATTAATTGCAACTAATTGTGTTCCAATTAATTGTTCCCTAGCCCTGATCTTGTTAACTTATAGGGTATTGGGACTGTCGTAAAAAAAACGGGTCTAGGACAACAAGCCGACGGGACTTCAAGCCGAAGGGACTTCAAGCCGAAATTAAAACTTTACAAGCACCTCAAAACACTATTTTATCATCTGTAAAACGTTATTTTTCAAAAATTTTGGCAAGTTTAGTCCATAATAAACGTTATTCATTGACAATGCACCATTTGTGATTGGCATCCGTTAATAACATCAGCCGGTTTTTGAAATGCATAAATTATAAACATGAAAAATGCCTTCAACCATATTTTACTTTTCAACTTTCCGAAACATCATTTGGAGGCTTAAATTTTATGAAAACGCCAATAACTTGTGAAGAAAGATCATGAACTTCAGAAGTTCTTCAAAAAAGTTTGCAAATTAATCATATTTTACGAGTGTAGTAGGAACTATTCGGCTTGAAGTCCCTAATTTTACGATTCGGCTTGAAGTCCCGTCTGCTTGATGTCCGGCACCCTTATTATCCACCATTTCAAGCTTGCTACTCCATTTTGTTTTGCAGTTGCAAATTGCGCAGCGTTATATGTTTTTATTCCGAGTAAACTCAGTAATCGCTACACTCGTTTGTGATTGGCTGGTGGTGTGAATTACTTAATTTCCGCACAAAATGCAGCTTGCTTTCACGTGACATGTATTTACCGCCATTATTATTCTTTCAGAGAAGAAGATTGATCATGTCTGTGGATATGGCTTTGATTGCAACAAATTTTACAGATATCAACGATGAACACAGAGACTAAGTTGCACTTCGCATACACAAGCACAAATATGACCGATAACGCTATTGAGAAAAACTGAATGAGTAAGACTTTGAGTCCTAAAATTTTTTAAGTGACGCACGCCAATTATGACGCATAAGAAATATACCAACTAACATGCCTCAATTTATAGAACAGTCTTTGCAATTTATAGAGCAATATTAACATGAAAAAATTAAATGTAATCAAAATAAAATGAAAACTTTTTTAAATTGAGATTTTTTGTGAACATCCCCCGATACGCCATATTAAGTATAAAGTGATAAATTTCGCTGCCAGTAACAAATCAATTCTGACGAATAAGCTTCCTTTAATCAGTTTGGACCAATTTTTATGACGGATTAATACTCCGCTTACGCGTTAATAGCGGTAAATATATCGAGCGTTAATTCTACCAAATTGGCCAAAATGGCAATTTTTAAACCCCCATAACTATGAAAAAAATACAGGTGAAATTTGGGTGAATAATCTTTCAAAATTACACTCAGGAAAACAAAACACATCGAATGATATAAAAAACGACCCGTCAAAAATGGCTAGTTAAAACGTAGAAAGTTGTCTGAAAAAACCACAAAGAGCACAAATATTCCGTTACTTTCGTTACGAAAGTCGGAACAAAATTGTCTGTGTTAAAATCCTTAGCATTAGCTGTACTTAATAGCTGGTTATTGATCAAAATGAATACTTTCAAAATGAACACACTTTATCGCAACAATATTTGCGACTTAGGTTGGAAAAAAGATAGTTCATACTATAACACAAGCATTGCTTGTGTAAACAGGAAAATGAAAAAGTAAATAGAGGAATATTAATTACCCATAAAAAAGGCACAGGGTGGATGAATTTCGCTAACCACATAAAGATCAAACATCCGGAATGGGTCGTACAAGAAGGTGAGTTGTTTTTTTTTATTCTCAGTGCTTTTTAATTCTCAATTTTTTTTATATTATCAAATACTAAAAACTGCTGGCCAAAAATTGTGAAAATACAACATTGAGCACAATTATGTTTAAGGAGAAACGTTTGGAAGCGGGAAAACAAGATTAGAGTTTCCAACAGCAATTTCATCAACCCTAACCGAAGCCTCTTCTGAAAATTTATACGGATTGACTGAATGTGTGTACTGTGGCATGCACCCTTTTTTTGTGGTTGAATATCCACTTGTGAGGCGTTATAGTTCTTTAAAGCTCATTGCAATAAAAACTCTTACCCTCGCTGAAGCTCGACGGTGTTATTTCTTTGCATCCAGAAATGGCAAAGTATTTGTCTCAAGAATGCCGAAATTGTCCACTCCCTGGTTTTTAAGAGTGGTTTGATCAAGATTCAGGATAGCGATAAAACATAGCTGTCCAGCTCGGAGAAAGAAAATTTGGAGAATATTGTGGCAAAAGTTTCAGTCATTGTTGACGAAAAAGTGGTCGAGCGCCAAGATTTTGCAATGAGTTTGCTCAGAAACCAGAAAAAATTTCCAAAAAAAAACATTGTGATTCGCGTTTCACTCTGCCGACATCTATTCTCGCTGAACGGTTTATTAGTTCATCGGGGTTTTGTTTCAATGACCTGCGACAATCTCTACTGCCAATCAATCTCGAGGCGCAGATTTTCTTAAAGATCAACAAAAAAGTTTGAAGTGAAGAAACTATGAAAAAACTGGAATGCTCTTTTTTTTGATCTAATCAAGTTCGAAATTGATTTTTGTCAGTTTACTTTTCACATGTCAGTAAAAATGCAATAAATTAATTGATAGACTGGCCAATTCCAATTAATTAATTGCAGCAGTTCATAATTGATTGGAAGGGCCCAATTAATTGTTTCCCTACCCTTGAGTCAGATTACACGAATATTCTATAATTTTCTTTGATTAGAGGTAATGTTCTCCGCACATGGTGTAAAAGAAAACATAAACAACTTGGATATATAGATCGAGCTGCTTAAATTAATAACAGCTCTATAATACTAATCTAGTTTTTCCGATATAAAAACCAACTTTAGTTGGATAAGTTTTGTGCTAAGTTTATTCTCGGAATAAGCTTAGCACAAAATTTATCCAACAAAAGTTGTTTTTATATCGGAAAAAAAGTGGATTAGTAGTATAGAGCTCAAGCATTGTTTGTTTACTAATTAAGAAGCTTTATGCATTGTGAATACACAAAATTACTGCTGTGATTAAGCGTTTCGAAAAAGGCGGAGCAATAAGCAGAATGGTCCAAAGGCAGAATGGGTCCAAGAGCAGAAAAACATTGATTTATATTGGTTTTGATAAAACAATTATTAGAATCGTCGAAAAATACCAAGAAAACGAAAAAATTATGCATGAATTGACTAGTGTCATTAAGTTTTTTGATTAAACTTTTTTAAAATTCTTGATTGAATTACTCAAATTATGCATAAAATGATCGTTGCTTTTGTATTATCGACACTTCTCATTATTAATATACCGATTAGCTTATAAAAGTTGATATTTTTCTGCTCTTGAACCCATTCTGCTTCTTGACTGGCCACCGAAAGTTACATTTTACTAGCAGCAGATTGAATCAGAAAAATTATGGCTATAGAGCTGCAAAGTTAACAAAACTGCTCGCATCGGGGCGAAGCCCAGAATGTTCCGACTGCCTTTTAAGGTCTATGGAGCAGTAATAACACGAAAAAAATAAATATAAAGAATTGAATTTTTTTTAATTTTAGATTTTTTGTGAAAATGATCAACCCACATGCCATATAAAAAACGAGGTGATAGATTTCGCTCCTAGTATCAACTAAATTTAGCAAATAAGCTTCCTTCAACCAACTTGGAACGATTTCAAAGACGGATTCAATCTCCGCTTAAGCGTTAATCGCGTGTTAATTGTCCCAAATTTTCCAAAATGGCAATCTTTAAACCCCCTTACTTTACCAAAAATGATCACAGGTAAAATATCTTTTCAAATTTAAGCTCAGGACAACAATACTTTTCGAAATATATATGAAAATTCTGTCAAAAATGGCTAGTTAAAAATTCGAAATTCGTCTCAAGAAAAAACCCACCCAGAGCACAAATATTCCGTTACTTTCGTTACGAAAGTCGGAACAACAACCAGCACAGAAGAAAGAGAGACAGATGAAGAGATAGAGAGAGAGAGAGAGAGATAGAGAGAGAGAAAGAAAGAGAGAGCAGAATTTGATGTAATCGAAATTGCACACTTTCCTTTAAAATAAATACGAGAAATCAATGAATGCACTTCATTAAATCACATAGAGCTTATGCTCTATAATCTTAACTTATAAAATTTGCAATAATTTCCGCAATTTATTTTGAAAAAAGGCGTCTCGCCATATGACACAAGCTCAGCTCATAAAAAAAGTCCAGAAAGGGTAATTGCTTTGAAAGCGGATGGAGATATTTGAAATACCCATCGCTGCTTCGCTTAAAGTAAATATGAAACAACAGAAATGTTTTGGGCAATTTCTTTTGCATTCTCGCAAGGCTCGGTTTTACAACCCGCTGTGAATATAAACTTGATCAGCAATCTAAAATATCTTAGTCTCACAAAGAACGAAAATTATGCGTGAACAAATTTTGATTAGCTGAAAAAAAAACAGTTGACAAGACTAGGTGAATTTTCTTTAAGCTCAATGGCAAGGACAGCGTAACTTCTTGAATCAACGATTGAAAATTCTTAAATTATCTGCTAGCTCAACAGCAATGAACAGACAGTGCCAAAAAAAGAGCTAATGCATTCAGTAAAAGAGAGAAAAAATACGATGTCGAGATATTTTTACAGAATACACTACTTCACCATGAGATTCTTCAGTTTCAGAATTTTTATGATTGGCATATTTTTGATGCAACAACCTCAATCTCACAAAACAAAAGAACCACAAAACAAACAAAAAACATCGAGTAAATAAGCGGACAGATTTGAAGTCGACACTTAATAATAAACTGAAAAACAGTCGAAATATTGTCAGTTAAAAACAAATAAGAATACTTGAATCGAAAAGTACCATTCTGAAAACAAAATTATTTTTAAAAATGCTGCAAAACAACTAAATGACTTTTTTCCGCATTTTGTACACTGAACTCCAGATTTTGAAAACTTTCATTAACAGCACTTTTAGCAAACCAGAAGATGATAATTTATATTATTGTTCCGACTTTCGATACGAAAGTAACGGAATATTTGTGCTCGGGGTGGGTTTTTTTTTTCTTCAGACAAATTTCGACTTTTTAACTAGCCTTTTTTGACGGATTTTTTTAATATCATTCGAAAGCCACTGTTGTCCTGAGCTTAAATTTGAAAAGATATTTTACCTGTGATCATTTTTGGTAAAGTAAGGGGGTTTAAAGATTGCCATTTTGGCCAATTTGGGACAATTAACGCGCGATAAATTTCGCGCTATTAACGCGTAAGCGGAGATTTAATCCGTCTTATAAATCGTTCCAAATTGGTGGAACGAAGCTTATTTCCCATAACTGATTTGTTACAAGGAACGAAATCTATCTTTTTGTACTTTATATGGCGTGTGGGGGGATGATTTTTATAAACAAATTTCAAATTAAAAAAAAAATTCTCATTTTATTTTATTTCAATTAAATTTTTATGCTATTACTGCTGCTCCATAAAACTTAAAAGGCAGTCGGAACATTCAGGGCTTTGCCCTGATACGAGCAGTCTTGTTAAAATATCTAAATACAGAACCAGAGAAATATAATATGTGTATTAAGAAAAAAAATGCGGAAAAGATTTCAAAACGATAAGTTTTTCTCAAAATTTGGAAAAACTGAAATTTTTTCACAAAAACTTTTCTGATTTTTTCAAACTCGGGCTTGCTAAAACCCCAGCCTACCATTGTATAATGTTAAAGTCTATTGAACGGTATAGGCTAGAAAGCTGTGGGACCATTATACAAAGTGTTAAAATACCTGCACTAAAAATTTTATGATAAACACATTCGATCGCTAAGCTAGTAGTCAGAAAAGTTTCGAAAAAAAAACAACAAACGTATACTTGGTTTGCCTTTGAAAATTCTAATATTTCCTCAAATCTTAGTAACTAGGAAATCTTTACTACAAATGTATATTAAGGTTAATTTTGAAATTCTAACATTTCCTTATATAGCTTTTTTATCGAAAAATTCACGTGTTAAACTACCCGCACTAAAGATTTTATGATAAACACAGTCGCTCCTCGCTAAGCTCGTAGTAACAAAAATTTCGAAAAAATTACGTATATTAGAGCTGACTTCTATGAGTTCCTACAATCTGAAATAACACAACCGGAAGTTAATAGAAAAGAATAGCCGGTACATAAGCAGGCAAAATTAAGTCACACACAACTTAAGCGTAAAAATTACCAAATTTTTTTGAAAAAAAAACAACTCACACTGTAAAAACGCTTGCCGTACACATCAATGAAAAAAACCAATACCCCATTACAAAACCCTAGCTAACCACAAGGGTTAGACCATAGCCTATAGAAAGGCTGAAACGTAAGAGGACGCAATAAAATTGTAGTTTTTAAAAACAATTCAACTTTTGAGTCCCAAAGACAAAAGCCTTAATGAATCGCCATTAAAAGCCTTAAAGGATCTTTTAATCTTAAAATTCTTCTTGTTGAAGCACCTAACGTCAAATTTTAGCACCAGTTTAACTTTTATTCGAAAGCAGATTTTTTTTCATGAAAAAAAAAGAAACTGTTAAACAGAACCCCAAGCGTGAAGAACTTTCAAGACTTATCGGGGAAAAAATAAAAAAAAACCAACAAGACCTTCTCAGAATCTTCAATTCGTTTATTGATAAAAAATTACACTTTTAATTAAAACATTTTCACCTTTCATTTTGTAGTCAAAACTAACCCAATTGAGCGGCAAAAAAGTCGTACCAGAAATCGAAATGGTGAGAGGATCTGAACTAAAGCTTAAAACTTCGGCAGTGAAAACACAATTAGGTACATTTGACCACATTTTTTCAAAAAAGTAAACAAAAACAAAAATCAAAACCAACGCTCAAAAAAAAATTCATATTTTTGCAAACAATTTTTAAATTTGTTTCAATTATTTTATTCCCAAGAAGGCGATAAAGAACTTTTGATAACCAATTTTATTTGAGTGAAACTAAGTAAAAATAAGTTGCATAGGTTAAGTTTAGAACTAACTTCTACACCGAGACGCAAACACTAGCGAAAACACGCCAAAAAAGCAGCTCTAAAAATGAAATAAGGCTGTAATTAATTTTAAATCAACCTACCACGCGATGGCTTCGAACCTACGCGCTAGAGACTAGGAATTTCACATCCTAACTTCTCAGCCACGGACGCGTAATAAATCACAAACACTCGCCACAAAAAAGCGGACGAAACTTTGAAATTTCTGAGGCCACAGATCGTGATTGTAGCATAAGTGACACCAAATGAGTTTATTTGCGAGTTACGCTGGGAAAAAAAGAAGGTCCATACTAATACACTACACTCGCGAGTGTAATAATTCTATTCCAAGGCTGCTCGCTCTCTCTTTATTTGCTCGAAATTATGAAATTATGGAAATTACTTTGATGATTTTTTTTAAATATCGTTCGGCCAATGGTCTTGCAGTCATTGCAGTTATTTCGTCATTGCAGTTATTTCGTGAATCTTATAGCTCTATAAAATAAAGAAATCACTTACGGCAAATAGGACATTTGGACTCAAATAAGTCAACTAGAATTGGTTTTATAAAAATCTTTCAGCGCAAAAACAATCAAACTTTTTGTAAAATTCAAGACTCAAATTCTCTGAAAAAATTATCTGTTTTTTTTTAATTTTTCAGCTCAATTGATTCATTTCTAGATCAAGCTAAGAGAAAAAAAACTCAAACTGATAACCCTTCTTAAGTTACCGTGAACCGTTTGAGCATTAATGGTGTTTTAAATTTGTATTAATAAATCCGTGAGATACAAAAGTTGTTACAATAGAATACACTTATCAACATCCTCACGGTTTTTACGGCACAAAAACATTTTGAATACACTCGCCGTCAATATCTTTATAACTGCTGTCACACTTTTCAACACATTCACCCTTCAGTCGGAAATTTTTACACTTCTTGCAGCTAGAAGACCCCAACTTATAACAGCCATCGCACTGCGGATGGCATTTGATGCACATTTTGGGAAAACTAGGCAGAAAATTTGCTTCGGCGGGGAAGTAGTCTCGAGGACAGTCGATCTCATTATTGTCGGAATTAACGAAAAAATTGGTTCCTTCATGATCACTCGTATCTTCATTCCCCGTTTTATCCATTTTTGTTATGTTTTGGCCGTGGCCTTGCAGTTCATCTACAGCTACACATGTATTGTTTTTCCCCCATTCTGAAGTGTACATCTGAGCTGTCTCGTTAACCGAATGAACCAATACTACCCCTCTGCATTTGTTGCAGCCACCCGCGCCCAAAGAAGAACTGTTGCCGGTACATCCCCAGCTTATTTCACAGACATTAGAACAGGGATAGCATTCCCGATTAGTCTGATCTGCGAATGTGGGCAAAGGGCATTGATTCACACACTCTCCGCTATTGTTGAAACTAACACACTTCTTGCAGTTTAATGGTCCCTGAAATTTTAGAAAATTTATATAAATATATATATATATTTATTAAGTTATAACATATATATTACATAAATTACATATTTTAATTATACATACGTAGTACATAATTATAATAACTGATACTATCTTCGGTGCATTGCGATGACAACGTGAGTCTACTTGCATGCGAAAATTGTTTCAGCAAAATGTTAAATTGAAAGAAAAGGATTTCACTGTACTCTCAGGTGGTTACTTATAGGGACCCTCCTGATACCTATTTAAGCAACAAAGTTAAGCAAGCTAATAAAAAGGATACTTGTTACCGTGGCTTGGGAAGATTCCGAGCGTCATATTTCCGGAATCATAAGTATATCATTCAAAATGATATCAGAATATGACGATAAAAAGCTCAGTTTACACACCCTCAACAATCAATTGGAAAGAGCAATCAAACTGCTCAACGAAAGTAAAACAGAAAATTAGAACACATACCCTAGCACTGCACCCAATACATTCCTTGTGGCACGTTTCACACAGATTCCCTTCTACAAAGCTAGAGTCTAGATCGCATTCGGATATACACGTTCTGTTGTTGAAGTTGAAATTACGACACTTGTAGCACATTTCGGGCCCAGGACCCCAACAAGCGGCCTCGCCACCAACTGTCGCACACTCATTGTCACAAAACTTTTCTAGATTCTGCGCACAAAATTCCTTCGAGGGTAGAAAATCCCAGTTTATCGAACAATTGATCTGATTCGATTTCAGATCAAGATTCGATTTCGGATCTAGCAGATCCGAAAACATATGTTCATTGATATAGCACAAGTTTGGGCCTCTTATGATTGGGAGCTTTTGAATAGTTTTCAAGGAAGAAAGTCCCAGGTATTCAAGATCATGGTTTTCCGAAATAGCAAATGATCCCCTAATTCGGTTTCCTTCACCCCTGATCACTTCCAAGTTTGACAGGAAAGAGAGGTTTCTCAAAGGACTCCTTAATACGTGCAGCGATCCAGTGATTTCCTTTATACTTTTAAACAGATGAAGCTTTGATATATTAAAAGGTTTTGTTTTGCAAAATACATCACCGGACCAAAATGAACTATCCAGCACTACGTCCCCATTTATAACCCTGCAATCTTCGGCACTGAGGATTTTTTCGTAGTCCTCATGTTTACAAAGTTCGTCAGGTACTTGCTGCGTTACATAATTTTTGATACTTCAAAACCTTGCTTTTATAACAAGACCAGGAAAGGTGACAAAATGGCTAAATTTATCACCGGGTAACTCCTATTATGCGAAACCTTTCCGACAAAAAAATCTTGAAAAAAACCGCTTCCATTATTGGTATTTTTTTTCAAGCTAGCGAAGAAAAATACCCGGTATGGACTTTCTTATGAAAATGACAAACATCGGATAATATCAAACCGCGTTCCTGGTGACTTTTCTGTTTTGTTTTGAAAAATGGAGTATCAAAAATAAAGTAGCGCACTCTGAAATCATCAACAGCACAAACTCCGTCAACCGAACAATTCTCGCCACATGGTACACACTTGTTTCCCTGAATTGAGTTCCCTGGTCCGCAACTTATGACGCACTTCTTATTCAATGAATCGGACTCGTAAGCATATGTTCCTAGTGGACACTGCGATAAACATTCGTAATGATATGCATACATCCTCTGGTTCTCATAAGTCACTGGCATTTCACCTGATTCCCGAGGAAGGTCATCAAGACACATCTTTACACAATTGTCATCGGACTTTAGGTACTTGCAAGCGTTGCATTCGGATTTGAAGTTCCCTGAACATCCAGCCGAACAGTCCTCGTCACAACACTCCGAGTCACTGGGCCCGAAACACCTTCCGCCCAGGGCTCCAGGTCTCTTGCATTTATCACTGCAAACCAAACGCGTCAAGGTCTGACAATCTTCCCTTTTGGGTCCCCAGCAATGTCCAGACTTGCAAACTGGTCGCGGGTCCAAGCTAGATTTCTCAGCTAACGATGTGTTCGCAGGAATTACAGTTGTAGCGTTCAATTCCTCATAACCACACATTATTTTACCTTCTCCAATCAAACGTTTACAGCGCTCTGAGTTACCTGAATTCGATAATATCAGAGGGAACTCATCAGAAGGGCCACTTTGCATGATGTCCGTGAAATTTATCAAGTGTACAAAGCATAACTCACTTGCGCTAATCATGACTCCGCCTCGACTGATTTCTTTTAACTTCGGAAAAGACAGAAATTTTAAGCGAGCATGCCTTGAATGAACATCAGAATCGCCGTCATGAACATAAAAAGAGCATTGTTGCCTTTTTCTGTACGAGCATGAAAGCAAACTTTCTCCTCTCACTATTACCAAATTTGGGAGCACAAAACGAGCCAAACGTACATTGCGAATCAGTAGGTAGCCAGAAATTTCCCTCACTTCGCTGAGAAAATCAAAACTGTATGTTTCGTTATCGGGTTCGAAGATATGAGCGATCTCAAGGTTCCCATAGATGTGCGTGCATTTTGAGCTCCCTCAAGATCGAAATTCAGGATATACACATAGCTAACAATCAGTAACTTTCAGAAATTATAAAATTTATCACATTCATAAGAGCAGCAACTCTACACAAAGAGGAGATGCAGCACTTACTGTACAAAAGCAATAAAGACTGCTCGTATATCAAGGCAAAGTCCCGCATGTTCCGACTGCCCTTTAAAGCCGTTAAAAAAATTTCAGTTCAAGAAAATGATAATCGAAAAAATATATATCTGTATTTTTATTGTTCATTTTATACCCCATATGCTAGGTAAAGTAAAAAGGTACGTATTAAGCGTCTCGTATCGAACTAATAAATGAACGAGTCAGTTTGTATGCCAGCGCGAATCCCCGAAAGTCCCTAATGCCCATAAATACGAAGAAAAAATTTTTGCTTGGAAAAATCGATAAGGATGTATTTAGGATCTTGTATGGCATTATAAAGACCCAAATTCAGGCCTCAATTCAATTTGAAATGACTTAAAAGCCGCTTAATTTTGTTATGAGCGCGTTAGTTCTGTTAAAAGCTAGTTAAAAACATATCGCGTTGATTATACCAAATTGGGCCGAATTGGTCATTTTCAAACCCCACAACTTTTCAAAAAACGATCAGTTGGATTTTTAGGATTTTAGCTCAAGACAAGAAAAATTTTCAGATGGTATTAAAAAATTGTAAAAAACGTTTAGTAAAAAAATCGAAATTTGACTGAATAAAACACCATAGGTCGAAACTTTTTTGAGCGAAAAAATATATATACGAAGTCGAGACTAGTAGAATTACAAATTGCAGGAGTAAAAGAAAATATAATAAGCAAAAACAATGAAAACTGCATACAGCGAAAACTTCTGAAATGTGGCAACTAAACCGACAAAACATGAGCAGACAAATGAGAAGACGACAATTTTTTTGAAACGGAGTTTTTCCGTTTGAAAAACAAAACAGGTCCTGGTCACATTTGAACCCAGGACGTTTGACGTCCCAGGCATATTCGGTACCTCCAGACTTAGTGTGCCGGAGACGCTTAGAAATTTGAATTCATTATGAACCAAGATACCAAGTGATCCTGTTCAAAACGGTGTTAACCCGAAAAACGTCTATATTCGGATTTGATAACGCGTGCTAATCGCAAGCGTAATAATCAAGTTGTTAACCTGCAAAAAGTCATAAACGTAGACGTTTTCCTGTTGGGTGACGGACGAAACAACAAAATTGAGAAATAAAATTTTGTGAGACAAGTTGTTTACTTGGAAAAAAGTCTAAGCTCCAATATATGATAACGCTTGCTATTCGCCAGCGTACAGAAAATTGAAGTCGCTACTGATGTAGCATTTTAATAAAAAAAACCCGCTGACTGGATTATTTTAATAAAAAAGAGGCAAAGCTGCATTCGCAAATAAGAGCACAAAATGGCAAGCGGGGGCAGAAAATCGAACACAATTGTTAGTTAGGTTGGAAAAAATTGAAATGGTACTTCTACAAAACAATTGCTTGATTTGTTATCGATGTCAATCATTCATTTCCGTAATATATGTATCCGTAGAATTTCGCCCTTCTCTGTGATATTTCAGTCTCAAACGACAGTATGGTTTTGTGATTCCGTTTACAACACCGCTGAACTTATCAGAAGTTCCCATGCACTCTCGTGAGCTGATTGACGGCAAAAACGAAACAAAAATTATCAGGACTAAATTGCTTGCTAGGGCGATCTTCATTTTAACGCCAACTCAAAATGCGATTCAATCAATTAATTATAACCAAACTAGGAAAACTTGAATTCTTTCAAATCTCTATCTTATCAAACGATCTTTCCTATATTAACCAAAATCAAACACCCGGGACTTCAGCTTTTAAATATTTGCTACCGCCGGATTGTCGGCAAAGAAATCGTTTATTTGTCTCGAAATACAAACTAGAATTGAACTTTCAAGTTTGCAAGGAGTGTCTGATAAGATTGAAAAAATGAAATAAAATGTTTCAGACAAATCCTACTTTCTAGTATTCAAAAAACAACAAACCAAGTCGAATTAAATTTCAGATCAAAATAATCAGCAGTAATTTATTTTGAGCTTAGCATGAATTCTGGCTAGACATTAAACTTTAGCGCAAACATTCCCAACATTTGAAGTCAATAACCTTCAAAATAATTGATTTATCGGGCTAAGGTGCTCGACAAAAGTCAAACAATTAACAGTCTTTGACCAAAATAGTGACGTTCGATTAAGGCTTCTTCGAAACCAAGTCGAATCATGGGTCAAACACGGTCACTTAAACTTTCAAGATATATAATGAACACCTTCCTATTCACTATCGTACAAATTAATTAAGACTTCCTGAAAACGGCTGAAAACAACTCGAAAAGAAAACTCGTTGACCGCAGGCAGTTGCAATATAAGGGAATATTTAACCATTTTACACGAAGGCAAAGCTGAACTCCGCTTACATTACACAATAGAAACACGGCACAAACTACTCTAACAACGCGAGAAAAAAAACTAAGGGAAAAAGTCCTTTGTAAAAATTAGGAAAAGCAAAATTAGGAAAGAAAAAGTTAAATTAGATGCAAACCACGCACCTCGAGAGTGAGAGGTTTACTAATTTCTCTACCAAAATTAGATGGTCGCGGCTTATTCAGGGAAAACTAGTCAGCTTGTTCGTTCGATTGAAACCTCAACCTCAACTGAAGATTTGGCTGGGTAATTTTTTTTGAATATTTCTCAAGGCTATGCTGGCTTTTTTAAAGAAAAGTGATTGAACCAATTATGCAGGAAAGATCCCTACCTCTTTTTATCAGTTGAACCCTTAGTCGCATATTTCTACCACCTGTTCGATGATTGAACTCTCAATCTCGGATTTGACATGGTAGTTATAGGAAAAAGTTTCCAAAAAGCCGTCAAGTTATCAACATTTGAACGCTTTATAGCGCATTAAATGTTTTCTACTAATATAAGAGATTAACGTTTTATGCAGGAGAGATACTCATGACTAGCTCTATCAATTGAACTTTTAATCTCACAATTTGCATTAAAAAATATAAAAAACCCCAACACTGAAATATTCGAAGGCCGTAGAACGTACAAAACGTGATTTGCAGACACATAGTGGCGTAGCCGGTCTTTCCATAGGCACATACAAACAATAAGTCCGTGTAGTAGTTTTCAAGAAAAACCATATGCAAAACTGACCAAAATTTTCCAAGGCATCTCAAACAAAACAAATCCCATTAAACTTTCTTTCATAAGATCCGTTATTATAAATGAAGAATTTACGTGACGTTTACAATTTTGCTGTTCGATAGTGAAGTTTGCTTTCCTTCCAACAAAAAAGAAGTAAACTTGAAAAGAAATTTCAAATCAAACCGCAAATAATCAGATTTTAGCGTGAACAAATTTCAACAATTTTCTTGAAAAAAAACTACAACTCTTAAACACGCTCTATTGATAACCTGCATTACAGCAACAGCATAAATGAACACTTATATTTGCAACTTAGATTGAAAAAAAAGAACATCGTAGTTTGACACTATGCTCCAAATTAACAAACGTGAAAAACCAGCTCTAGAAAAAACAAAAGAAAAAAAACTGAAATAGGACTCAAAATAAGACTCTTAATCTCCTAGATCTAGGATTCGATCTGCGCCCTACTGCAATCAAGAGATATTGCGTCTCACACACTATCCACTCAGTCAAGCACGCTTAGCCGCCGACAAACACTAGTCACGAATAAAGCAGCTACATATGCTAAAAAGTGGCACCAAATACAAAAAGACTCAATTTTGCAGTGAAAATTTGGAATATAACAAGCTGAAGGCATCCAAACAAACTTTGCATTTGACAAATTTTAAAGCATAAAACCAGATGTATGTATCGAGTTTTTATTTTTCCTGTGTCGTGTGAAGCAAATAGCTTTTTTCGGTTCATTTGTTGAATTGAAAATGTATCAACTGTGTTAACATTTTCTTATTCAAATCTCAAAGCATATGCTATCAAAAAACCCTAAGAGTGCACCAAAAGTGGCCCCAGAATAAACGTAGGAAATAAAAATGTAGAAATAAGCCTCGCATTAGGTCTCGAAACACAGATAACAGATGAATCAGATAACAGATGTTATGAAACTTCCAATGCTACAGATCGTGATTTGGCATAAGTGCCACCAAATAATTGAACTTTTAATGAAAACTTTTAGTTGCGAGTTAGGTTAGAAAAAAAGAAGGTTCGTAATAATACACTACGCTGCTCGCTAGTTGTATTACAACAAATGACTGGAAATTGAAGTCATGGGAATTATTGGAGAACATGATGTTTTTATCAGCCTTCAATTTAGCAATTAATTGAATTGAGCTTCAGAAATCAAAAGTCAAGTAGCAAAAATCAAATTTGAGCATGAACAACTCCTTTTTATCGCTATAACAAATATCAATAAAAAGTACAAAACCTCATTCATTAAGACCTTGTCATCAAAAAATGAATGTTGCCATGCCAAAAAGAATGCCATAACTTGAAAAAAATAAAATAAACAACAGCACCACAGCTTAAGGAAAAAACATTTAGAAGACATGATTAACGGAGAATCGTTTACTTCTCTACTTATTTGTTTGAATCCTTTGAATCGAAAAAAATACTGTTATGCATCACTCAAAGTTAAAACATCTTGAATTTTTATCTTGAATTTATTTGAAAACAAATCAGTTTGTAAAATGAAAAGCTAGCTGCCACTGAAAGCTATGGCTGTCAAAATTACGAATGAGCCCTTTTAGTAGCATTTGTAGCCATCACGTTGCCATCATCAACTGCACTGCTGAGCTTTCTCAGCATATACTGGCCTTAGATCTCGTCTTAATAAGCAGCAGTTGCAGGCAGGCCTTGCCTTGTAGTTATGGATACCAAAAAATAGATACCGAAGCCCTATCATCTATTTGTATCTCTTTTATGTCCATGGCCACTTCTGTGCCTGTTCCAAGATTGAATTGAAGACGAATGCTTGCTCCTTTTACTTTCATTGTACCGCTTGACCTCATTTTCAGACGACCTATCTCTCCTTCGACTTGTTTCGTGTTCTGAGCGTGAAATTGACCTCGAGCTCTCTTTTCTTTTATACTTGAGCTTCTTTTCGGAGCCTCTTGATGATTCATCACTCCTATTTAATTCACTGTTCGATGCAGGTACTGACAATTTATTTCTTGATTTCTTATTTGCTTGAAAATCTTTTTCAACTTCTCTTACAGATTCACAAATAACATTTCTGAAATCGTGATGTCTTGAGCCATTTCTATTTTCATATTTTCTTTTGTCTATCCTTTCTGGTGTCAAAGTTTTCTTTTTATGTTTCTTCTCAACTTTTTCGCGTTTCTCTGTTGGTCGTTTTTCCGTCTCGTCGTCGCTCAGAGCACTCGCTAGCTTCCTCGTTTTATTTTCCCCGCCCATTTCTCCACCATTCACCCCTGCATTTCCTCCCTTGGTGTTGTTTCTTTGTCTAATGAATTGTTGCCACCTGGCCTTGGCTACACTCTGACTGAAGTCAACGTGTATGCGTCTGTCGTCTATTAAGACATTGTCCATTTTGAAGTAAGCCTTCTCGCAGTCCTCTTGCTAAACGAAACGAAATGATATTTTAGAACGCTTTCAAAACATTTGTAACAGCAGCATTTGTGCCAACCAAAATTGCATTTTGTTAGCACAAATAAAAACAAACTATTAAAAAAGAAACAAAAAGATTGGCAAATTCTTGATGACAAAACTTGAACCACGACTCTCGCTTACCACATCATTAACTTTTAAATTTTGCTTACAACAGACATTTTAAATCGAACATAAATCAGTTCAATTCACGCGAAATTTGTCATCGCGAAGTTAGACTGATCGAGTTTTGAATGGGGCTTTGGTTCGTTTCTTATTTCAATCAGTCGGTTTGGTCATTTGGTGGATCCCTAATTATAGCTTACCTTGTCGAACTCGATGAATGCATACTGAAGTGAGTTTCCCGTCTTCCAGTCTCGGATGACCTCGCAGCTGAGGATCTCACCGAAGCGGCTGAAGATTATGTGAAGGTCCTCGGAGCAAGTGGCTGGGTTCAGTTTACACACGAACAAAACATTTTCGGGAGGTCTCACATCGGCACTCGGCAGATCTCCTAACATCTCCAGCACCTAAAATAAAAAAATATATGTTAACTTGGCGATGATACGTGAATCTTACATTGCCACGCGGAACGTTTCCGCTAATTTAATTGTATTTATTCCTTGGTATGGTTTTCGCGATTCCAAAAACGTATTCAAGTCATATGAAGTCAAAGAACGATAATCCTGGAAGGAAACCCTGAAATCTAAAAATCACACGAAATCTCATAAAATTACTCTTGAAAATTAAATTTCACAATATTTTGTTGAAAGCAAATAGTTATTAAATGCCTTTTTAACCGGAAAAGGCATAATTGCAGATACCCGTATGTAATCCACTATGGAACTAGATGATGCTGCAAATCTGACAAAAATTATGATTTTGACCAAGGAAATTTTGAAGACTGCTCCTACCTGAGCCTGTGCCCTGGCCTCCTTCTCCCTGTACTCCTCCTCCAACTCCTCCTTCGTCTTGGCCCTCTCCTCCTCTATCTCGTCCTCAACACACATCCGCTCACTCTCCATCACCTCCCTTGAGGGACTGGGACTTCTGCTGGGGACTCTGAGAGATCCAGGGTCCTCAAAGGGGTCCTCAAGTATCACTGTGTGGCTGATGCGGATGTCCTGTAAACATATCCAAGACATCTTAATATGCTCCTTATCAGAAACAAAAAATAACTGGACTATTCTTGCATTAATCAGACTCACAAGTCTTAGAAAATCACAAAATACCAAAATAAATTACATCAACCCAATAAAAAACTAATTTTTGCTATGATGTGAAGACATGTTTCCGTTTTACAAATCGCAATGTTTCCAGTAAATGGAAAGCGGTTGATGAATGCCAAGTATCAAAATTCAAGAAATCGAGTTCTGCAGCTAGCAGATTCGGACACCCATATTTATCAATCGCTTCTATTTCCGCTACTTCTGGGTACTAAATCATCGAGTCCGAAACAGGAAACAAATTGAAAGGAGCAGCTATGTCTAAGAGTGATACCTGATAAGGTCTGTTCTCTTCGTCGGTGAGCACTTCATTCATCTTCTCCAATACCTCCATGCCCTCCTCCACTTGACCTATCACAACGTGTGTCTCATCCAAGTAGTCCAAATCAACCCCCAGTGTGATGAAGAACTGGGAAGCAACATTGGCTCGATTCACCATGGACACTGTGCCTTTGTTCACGTGTTTAAGACGGGGTTTGATCTCGCCCTCAAAATGTACGGCCTGAAAAATTTGAAATACGCGATTATGCAACGGATACAACTAATTTATTTTTCTTTACGCAAACAAAATTTATGAAAAATTTCATGGAATACGAAAGCTATAAGAATTTTTGTATTCGGCCACATTTGGTTAAAACATCAACATTCAATTGCTTTTTCGATGTTGAAAAGTGAATACTTGATGCTTAATTTTGAAACAACCAACTGGTGGTTGAAAAAGTGTAACAGAACAAAAATTTCAACTTTCGAAAAATACAATATAACACGTTAAAACCCTTTGAAATTCCCTGAACTTAAAAGAACTCAGACATCAAACTGCGAAAATCAAATTTGAGCGTGAACAAAATTTATGACTTTATTCTTGAAAAAAAAGAAAAAATCATCGTCTTTTCAAGTCAAAATCACTTCGTTCTTGTACTGGGGACTGCTTTTAATTTCCGATCAGCTCAGAGCTAATATCTTTGTGACGACTTACCTGTGGGCCGTACACCTGTGCAAAAATGGATTCCCCTCCCTCGCCCCTCCCGGTGGGATCGCCTGTCTGGGCTATGAAGTTTCTCTTTAGGTAATGGAAGGAGCAGAAGTTGTAGTACTTCGTCTTGCACAGTTTGAGGAAGTTGAGACATGACCTCGGTCTCTCTTCCACAAACAAGTCTACCACCAAGTCACCTATGGTGGTCTCTATCAAAACACTCATTCTAACATCTAGAAGACCAAATTTAATCCATAGCACTCATAACATATTTAACAAAGCAAATTTTTAAGGATTCGCTGATACTTTAGACCTCTCCCGAAAAAAAAACAAACGCCTTCATTTTCCTGGGCTAATTTTCAGTTATTTATCCTGACGTCCAAAAAAGCTGCCTTTGTAACGAAGAATAAAAAAGTTACAACGATGTATGAAAACAGATGCGAGCTGCCAATCAAAAACATGAGCAAACAGTAGTCGGTTACTGTGAGTAGCACAGAAAGTTGTGGCGCGGTTACATTTTTCAAAATGCGAAAAATGCAGTCACAGTCAGCTGGTTCGGTAACTAAAACATTGCCGTCCGTAGTTATCGCTGTCGCAAGTAACTGGAGGACAAGAGCCAACAGAGTAACAGCCACATGAAAAGAGGCGAATCGCAACTTCGCACCAAATGCTCAAAAAAGTATAAACAAAAGTTTTCAACTTGAGCAAAATATTTAAGATGGGCATTTTGTTAGATTCCTTTTGAACCGCTTATAATCAGACGAATCAATGGTTGTTTATTTGTAATAGAATCTTCGTTCATAGCTTTTTACTGAAACTCAGTGGTGACACAATTCCTAATTAAACCAACAAGCTCTTCAAAATTTCTTTGAAAACAAACTGCTAGTTCAACAGGAACAGGGGCGGATCTAGGATTTTCTCGAGGGGTAGGCGGATTTTCAAAAAAGTTTCGAAAATTTTGTCGACCTTTTTTTAGGGTTGACCAAATTGATTTTCCGAGCTCTCTTAAGGAACTAAAAAGACGTGTTTTGGTCAAATTTTCTGCGCCGCGGGCACAAATTTGAAAAACAGGCAAAAAAAGGCGTTTTTAGGAACTTCTTGGGAAATTTAGACTCCCAAATCCGCCCCTCATATTTCTAATAATTCGATTTCAGTTATCCTCTGTCCAAAATGAATTACGGAAATAATAGAGTACCCCATTGCAATAACCTTGCTTGTCATAATAATATTAATAATAATCACAATAATCTGTTTCCACTTCACTAAAAACCAAAAACATAGCCGACAGACAATTGAAAAAAGTTAATGAATGCAAGGAAACAGAGAAAAAACTGACTTTTTTTGAAAATAAAAAGTACAATTTTTGAATTTCAAAGAAAAAATATATGGCTCAAAGCTCTGTGATTTTCCAGAACAAAGTTTGATTGACACATTTTTGATAAATTTCACTCAATTTGAGAAAACCTGATCAATGGGCAAAGTATTTATTCAGCTGGGAAACCTGAAAACTGAAATCCCTTTTCGAAATGAGAAGTCGATGACATTTTTGTGGCCTTTACACTTATGCTGTTCGATAGTGTTCAATAGACTTATTCCTGAAAATAAATCATCAGGGCCTATATAATACTTCACAACCTTCTTCGCTCAATTTGTGCACCGAGAAATGAATCTTCTTTCTATATCAGGAAATTATAACAAAATGATTTCTAATTTTGACCATTTTGTGACTAAAGTTATTTACGGGGAAAAGTCTAGTACCCGATTGCAATACCCTTGCTTATCGCGAGTGTAATTAAGTTGAAAAATAAAATAAACGCCAAACCGCAAAAAAACCAAATCTGCCGTAATCAAATTTTAAGTTTTCCTGAAAAAATAAAAATATATATTGCATCACGGATTATAGAAGGGTCGTCACTATGTTCAAACACATAAAAACTTCAAGGAAGTAAAATTTCGCTCACAGAATTTTTTATATAGTTTGCTTTCAACTTTTGAAAATCGACCTAGAAGTCCGTTGAGATGCATGAATTTAATCTGGGAAAAAGTGGAATCTTTTGCGACCATATTTCCAAACAAGGTTTGTAATCAGGTCATACTTCTTAGCCAGTACCTGAAACCATTATCAAACAAATTTCTTATCGCAAGTGTAATATCGACCGCATCTAAGCTACCTAATGACACCTAAAAGATGGTAACAGCTCAGTTCATTCAGATCACAAGGTAGTTACAGTAACTTAGAATGAAAAAAAGTACACACAGGATTCGATTAACAAAAGAAGATTTCCTAAAAAATTTTTTGCCACAAAGTAAAAAAAGGGGTGACACGTTTTCACAATATACGAATCGCCAGCTGACCTTGAAATGAAATGTTATCAAAGTTGACATAAGTTCATGAACAGCAGCAATTAAGTCAAAAACTAAGTCATTGATCATCAATGCATGAAATTTAACGCATATAGGCTGTACGATTTTGTCCTGTACGATTTTGTGCTGAAAAGAGTTGTACATATTTTGATGATACTTGCCAACTGATCGCCGAAAAAGTAGTGACTTAATTAAAATCTACCGAAATCATCTCAAAATGAACAAAAAACAAGTTCCCAAAGAACTAAAAAGAACCTGGTTTAGCCAAATTTTTTGCGCCGCAGGCAAAAATTTGGAAAAGCAGGTCAAAAAAGAACGATTTTTTTTCGGCGCGCCCTCTCCCTTCAAAACTAGTATAAACTGGCGCAAAGGCGCCTTAAGAAAAATTTTGGGGTCCGTCAGCCAACAGTTCAAAGGAGGGACCTCAGGAGTTTTGATGTACTCTTGACTATAAAAAATAGTGACCAGTAAAATAGACAGAGCTTTTAGAGACCAATTGTGACCGGTCACTATAATAGAGACCAGTTGGTAACTCTGCTCGCAAACGGAAACATGAACAAAATTAGCAATAAAACGAAAAACCACAACACTTAAACATTTCAGAATTCGGTTATTACACAGAGGCAAAGTGGAGCTTCAAAACACTTCCTATACAACGCAAGCCTAGCATTGCAAACTAGCGAATACAAACTGGGGCCGAAATAACAAAGGCGGAAAATTTTTTTTAAATGATTTGTTTTTTGAAAAAAGAAAAATTCCATTTCAGAGAAACGGCTGAGAAACACTACCACCAGCATCAAATAAGCTTTTAGCGGCCCCTAAAGGGACAATTCGAGGGTGGACGCAAATTGAGTCAAAACAAAAAAATGCCACACAAAATCGTTAACAACATTTTTTTTGAGCGATTTAGTTTTACAACTTCGAAATTTTACAGCACAACCAACCTAATTTCAATTTTAAAAAATCAATTTTTGGCCTTCAAACGACCCAAATTAATTTGACTCAGCCGATAAAACAGTAGCCGATAGAACATAAGCCGAAAACATTTATGCCGAATAGGCTTTCAAGCAGAAAAATCAGGATTTGAAAATTTATAACTTAGAGGAGTATTTCAACAACACGTGCAACCGCAATTAAAATTGCTTACAGCTCAAGAAAAATCTTTGATGTAGCAACTAATTCAACAACACTTGGGCAGACTAACGAAAGTCCGCAAACTCGATTTTTCCCGGAAAAAATTCAATTTGAACGTAGAGTGCAAAGGTAACAGCGTTACCTCTAGTCCAAGTCGGAATGAGACTGCTAGTTGCACAGGTTCAATAATTAAGCAAGTTCAATTTTTTACAGATTTATTAAATTATAAACCTAATCTAATGTGACAGGAAATAAATTAAGCATTGGGTTCCAGCACACTATGGTCAAACGATGAATAGACATTCTTCAAAATATACAATTTAGATCATTATCAAAGAAGAAACTGATCGCACTAAAATTAACCATTAATACGTTCGCTATTACTCATTCTCATTTTCCAGATGAGGTTCGTCGTTCTCTTGAAGCACCGAGATATACTGCGTTGTATCCATAATAGGAAGTGATGAATTATCAAAGCGGCCCAAGCCTGCATTGCTAGAAGTCACGTCTGTAAAAGCCAGACTACTGACCAGTGCATTAATAGAAGTAACTTGATTCGTACTCTCTTCTGTTTCAGCACTGTTCCTTTCTTCGTTTTTAAATGGACTTCGCTCTAGTTTCATTTCGTAATCGGACGGAACTCCTTTTCTAGCACTGTATCTGGAATTTGCAAATTCCCTCAAATGGATTTGGATGTGTAAGTTTACATCACTGGCCCGACTTAGGTAGGGAAAGTTTCCTCCACTCTTAAGATGTGCCTTCTTACTTTCAGGAAAACATTTGTAAAGATTCTCTCTCACTTGATCAGTGAGGGCGTTGACATCAAACACATCCAGAAGTGTAACTGGCAGGTCATTGACCAGATGAGGCTTTACATAGTTTTCAGCGCAGTTTAATTTCAGCCTCGAGGCCAATTGCTTCTGTGAAAGCTGATTGAGTCTATTCAGCATAAAAGAGACAGATCTGACAATGCTCATGTCTTCCGAACCCCCGCTATAGACGTTTTTGCAGATGATGTTCCTCAAGATCTTGACTGGACAAAGCCAGAAAGAGCTGGCCAGATGTTCTCGATTAAAGAAAGAAGTATCAGCAAAGGAGTTGCATAATATTAGAGAATTGACACGGGGACACGAACTCGAGAACTCAGCAAACTTCATAGCCAGAAATCCACCGAGAGAAGCTCCAAAGATGTGAACTTTGGAGAAGTTGAGGAAATTCAGGAACTCGCCGAATAGTTGACAGAATGACTCCATTTCCCAAACTACCGGTAGTTCAACAGACATCACCCTGAAGCACGGCAAGTTAATTCGCCAGTTTAGAAAAACGCAGCAAGAATACCAAAAATTTTGTATTTTCATAAAAGTACATCCAGTTTGGTACATAAATACCAAAAATACCACATTCTAAGCGCGAAAAAAATATGTTTTCATTAAAACTAAATCAACGGTCACAAAAAAAGCTTTGCTTGTGAAATTAACATTTACTGAAAGTAAACAAAAATGGTAACAAAAACGTCTTCAAGTTATTGTTTAAGGGTTGATGATAGACAATCACCTGTACTGGAGCGCTGACAGACTCAGAACCTGTTTGTAGAATATATCTGCGGTTCCACAAATGGGAGGCAGGAATATAATGGGGGAGTCCACAGTCTTCGGTCCCGCCTCGTAGTAGATCCACTCCACCCCCGAAACAGTCACCTTCTTCTGCGCCACTGCACTGCGGAAGGCCGAGTATTCGCGGGAACGGAACACGTCATTGGCCGCCATTGCAACTACACGATTTGGAAAACAGTGATATACTCTTTTTTACTGTTCTAACTAGAAAGTTATTTCGACTAATAATTTTCTCTCATCAGAACGATTTTGGTTTACCAGCACATTATGCTTTATAAACACTGATTATTTACTTTTGTTCTCAATCAACCATGGCATTGGAAAATTTTCTGAACAATTTTCTTTTCGATGCAAAATTACAAAAATGAAGCTAAAGGAAACTAACGTACATCGCCGTTTCAATTTAGTACGAGGAATTAATACAGGAGATGATGATCTGAATTAAGATAGAAGACATTTAATCAGGACAGCCTTTCCACTCTAATTGAGATCCCAGCTAGTTAACGACGCGATGTTGTAGAGTAAACGAGACAGCGAAATAGATGGCTCTGAGACCACTTTGATGTCGATCATAAACAACCTGCAGCAAATAACAATGTACACAATTTGAATTGAACTCAAACATCTACCAGTCATATATCCTTTGATCGCAGTTCTGGTATCAAAACAAGAAATTGAATTGAAATGTTTAAATTATTGATGAACAACAGATCTAATTTGGAAGCGAGGTTGGACCGCTAGACCCGGATAAAGCATTTCGAGGTTATAATTCTAATGACTAAACATTCAAATTCGAAGTCCAAGGACGGACAAAGTTTAAGTATTGGAAACATTGACTGATTTGGAATTCATAATGCAAAAGTAATAATTGGGGTCCGTTTTGGTGCTTTGGCGTTATCTCAAATCTAACTCTTCCTCACTAGCATATCTATAGTTGTCGCTGAACGGATTCATACTATCGTCATAGTCGTCATAACTGAAAGGGTTCGATGGGTCCTTTATATTTTGGGTTCCATTAGCCGAATGCTGATTATTTTGTGATGCTGTTGATAATGATGAGTTGGGTTGATTGTGCTTGCTATTGGAATGAGGATTGGAGGTAGGTGTTCGCTGGAGGTAGAGTGCTTTCAAGGCAGTTCCTCTGTTCAGCATATTTGACAGGAAGTGGTTTGGCTTCACCTCTTTTCTTTCGTTGACTGGCAATGAGCCTTCTAACTCGGACCAACCACACACCGAGGGAAGTGTCTGACGGATTCTGAAAGACCGTCCAAAATTTCACAAAATTTGATAACAAGCTACTGATACTAACAAAAGATCCAAACACAAACACCACACTAATCGTTATAAGGCCCCCAAAGGATCTAATTCAAACATTGAACCATACCGCAATTGATTCACACTTTCTTACCTGTCAACGACTTTAGCCAACCATGGATATGCAGTATTGTACAGGGTGTAAGTCTTCAATGCTTCGTCAAGCTTTTCCGTCGAATCTTCTTTGACAGCTTCCACTAACTGGTACAAAAATGAGAACTGTCTACTTTTTCTGAACTCCGGGTGTTCCTCGGAGAACTGTTTTAGGCACAGTGAGGCGTGCACGTGGTCCAGAGCCAAAGCGCAGAGGGTAGCTTTGAACATGTGGTCTGAGGCACCGAAGTGCAGTAGTCGGTGGTCTTTCGCAATCATGCCCAGACGCTCGAAATTCTCTTTCGCCGACATAAAGTCACCCTGAAACATTCAGAAATTTGCGTGCAATATTCGAATATTTGAGCAAAACAATTTGAAAATATTCCTTATTAATATTAATTTTAGATTGAATCTATAGTATATCACAGCAAGTACACTGAATTTTTTATACAGCACAAGAAAAATAAAGAATGCGGCAACAAAGCCGACAAAACATAAGGAGACACAAGACAGCCCGACTATTCAATTTTTCCCGGAAAAAAGTCAACATCATATATTTGAAATAGAACAAGGCCCGGCCGGGACTCAAACACCGGATATTAGGGTGCAGAGGCAATTGCGTTACATCTAGTTGCCTGTGAATTATAAGGAGCCTGGAAATTGTTAAGGTTCAATAAAAAAAAGCAAATTCAATTTCTTCAGGTTTGTAAAAAATTGTTTACGGGAAAGTCTAATTCCTGATTTCGAGGCACTTGCCTAGCAAGTGTATTAACTTGAACAGAAATCACAATTCAAACCGCCAAAAATTATATTTGAGCGTGAACAAATTTGCAAACTTTTCCTTTTGAGACAAACTTAAACCACGTTAACTAATGAGTGAAGTATCACTTCAGTCTTTAACATTCGAAAAAGCTAATCTTACGGCCCGCTAGCAAAAAGAAGCTGTCATAAGGAAAAAATTTTTAGCTGCCAGTTAAATGCAGCATTTAGATGTCCCCGTTTCAAGGAGTTTAAATATAGCTTAATGAAATATCGTGCAAAAGTCCATATGAATGCTACGGAAACATGACCTGTGTTGGGATTTTACAATCAAACTTCAGGTACTTTAAAGAACGCTCATAAGGCATCGAGTATTGGTTTATATTCCAGCCATTTCAGTCGTGATTCGAGTTACAAAGAGAAATATATTTCAAAAAACTTCATTTTGTGTACAGAAAAATTGATCTGAAAAAACTGCTTTGAGAAAAACTGGTTTTTCAGCAAATTATTGGAAATACTTGAACAGAAATCACAATTTCATTCACAATTTAAATCACAATTTAAATCACTGAATTCCAATTTGTCTTTAATAAGGATTGTTCAACTATATATAAACCATAATAATATAAATGGAAGATCAATTTAAGCTCATTGCATTACCAAAACTAACAAAACAAAAGCCAACAGACAATTGGAAAATAGTCAATGGACGGAAGCAAACAAAAGGCCTGGTTTTATAAAAAATTGCAACTTTCAAATTCCAAAAAAATAGATGCCATTAAGGCTCTTTGAATTCCTAAAACAATTTATGACCGGCACTTTTTTGTTAAAATTAACCAAATTTGAGAAAACTGGATCAATAGGCAAAGTTTTATTCCACTTTTGAAACTAGAAGACCACTTTTGAAGTTCCACTGAAATTCGACTTTTGAAACGAAATTCCATTTTTGAAATTAGAAGACGATCACGTTTGTCGTGACCTTTGTACTTTAACTATTCAATACAGGAGTTTGCCTTCCTTTTAACAAAGTAAATGAACTGAACTGAAAAAGGAATCAAGTCAAAGCGTGAAAAAAGTAAATAAGAGCCTGAAAAAATTTTCAGACGTTTCCTGAAAAAAAAATCATCGCGACCTATATAAAAGTCTGAACTACATCGACTCCAAAAAACTCATCAAATGAGTTAAGTTATTACTAATCGAATGTCAAATCACATGCTATCAAAATCCGTAAAGTTGGCCCACAATTGGCACTAATATTTGCGACTTAGGTAGGAAAAAAGAATAGTCGTACTATAACACTACTCTCTATAAACTGGCTAGTGTAAAGGCTTCAGGAAAAAAATTTAAAAATTCATCGCGACCTATATAAATGTCTGAACTACAATCATTGACTCTAAAAAACTCATCAACTGCGTTAATACGTTACTACTAATCGAATGTTAAGTCACATGCTATCAAAAATCCGTAAAGTTGGCCCAAAATTGGCACTAATATTTGCGACTTAGGTTCGAAAAAAGAATAGTTGTACTATAACACTACTCTCCATAAGCTGTCTAGTGTAAAGACTTCAAAAAAAAATTTTAAAAATCATTGCGACCTATATAAGTGTCTGAACTATGTTCGTTGACTCTTGCAAATGCTATACATTTAAAAAAATTAATTTCGGGTTATGTGCTTGGTGTGATAAAAGTATCTAAACGAAAACGTAGAACTTCGACATATTCGATAGTCATAGTAAAATTGGCAAAATCTACAGCATTTTTTTGTCGCACAATGACTAGAAAAATAAACAATTATTTAAAACACGCAGTTTTTTTTGAATTTTTGAAGTTATTTATTCCGAAAATGGCGCTAAAAATCTTTGAACGTTTATCTCAGTGGGGTAAATTTAAATTTTCAGTGCTTGAATAAAAGTTTGAAACAACTGAAAGGCTTTGATACGATATATTACTCGACTCAGTTCGATGAATGTTTGAGGTACTGATTTGGCGCAGAAAACAAAAAATATATAAAAGTAAAACGCACCCGAATACAAAGTTCCTCCCTATTTTCAACGATCGGAACAATAATCGACGAGGACTTCTTCTATTTTTGTTGAATTAGTCAACATGGTCGAAAACTCTGTGCTGCTGGCAGAGGTATTGGCTACCAATAGTAGCTTTGTTAACTTTACAAAAATGTTCAGTAAATACTTGGGTGAGTTTTCATATTGAGGAAAACAATGGCGAAGAAAACAAAGAAAGACCGAAGTAGCGTAAGCAATCAACTTACACTTTCCATCTGAAGAAGAGCGAGTTTTTCCCTCGCTTTGCCCGCAGCTGCCGGCTGATTCTCAGTTTCATACAGCTCCAGTGCCTTCCCGTAGTTGTCCATTGCACCTGACATGTCGCCCATCTTTGAGTGACAGGTGTCACCACAGGCTAGCAGCTGCTTGGCTGCCATCGACAGACGACCCCTATAAACACATACTGATTGCATTTCTTTATAGCTTAACCATTACATTTCCCAGCCTTGTAACAAAAAAGATATATTATTTTTATAACTTGGGGCACAGGGCATAAAAATCATTCATAAAAATGATTTTTATAATTTGGGGCACAGGGAAAGTTCGAGCATTTGATTATTCGGCAATTTAAAATAATGCAGATTTATAATGTAAAAACTGAGCTCGATTTTTGTGGTTTTTTTGCCGGGTAATTTTGAATGACAACTGCCTACGCCACAAATGTATTCAAGTGTGACGAAATGATGATAATGTACCTGTCCATCCAGATGGAAGCAGCCTTCTGTTGACACTTGAGAGTCAGTTGGGGCTGGTTGGCGAGAGAGTAGCAGGTGGCTGCACTGGAGAATGACCCACATGCATCCGCCCCACAGTCTATCCTCAGTTGCACTTTGCCACACTCACTTAACGCATCACCCGCTGCAACACAGACAACAACACTCATTAAATTTTTCATTGAGAGAGAACTTGCAAAAGCAGCCCCGGTACTTTTAGAAATATTCGGTAAAGCAAGATACTTGATTTCCAAAGAATAAATTTTTAGAACAAACATAGTCAGCAGAATTTTGGAAAAGAGTCAATGAAGACAATTAAATAGAAAAAATACTGACGTTTTTTTAAAAAAAAAATGAATTTCCAAAATTCAATCAAAAATTGATAGCCATAAAGCGCTTCGAAATTCTAGAACAATTTATGATTAATTCTTTTTTGATAAAATTAACCCAATTTGAAAACAGAGCCAACAGACAGTTGGAAAAGTCAATGACCGCAAGTAAACAGAAAATGCCTTTTTTTTGAAAAATTATCAATTTCGAATTTCAAAGAAAAAATCAGATGCCCTTATAGCTCAATGAATTTCTAGAACAATTTTTGATTGGCACTTTTTTTGACACACAGGCTAAGCTGAGCTTCGCACCACTTGCGATACAACACAAAATCGAAAAATCGAAAGTCTAAAAAACTAGATCTATCATACTGATTACGACTAGTTTTGAAGCAAAAACATTCCGAGAGAATAGAAGGTGAAATTAGCATCGGAAGAACATTTATCAAGCAGTAACAATTACCTTGACAGAAACCATTTAACCCGTAAAAACATCAACAAGATTTAAGACTATTCGCTTGTCAATGGACGCAATATGAGGCCGATATAGTGTAGGCCGAAACCTATCAAGCCGAAACAAAAGAGAAAAACAAAAAAGGCGATAAAAAATTTTTGTTGTTCATAACAAGATGTTTAGCATTTTGCGCAATCTATGGGTGAGCATTAAAAATATTTTTCTATTGAAACGCCTCGAAACTAGGTCATCAGGCCGATAAAATAAAGACCGGAATCATTTGGGCAGATAAGTTTTTAATCGAAAAAAAAACAAAAAAGAAATATATACGATGTCAAGGTTAAAAAAATACAAACAAACAGCAGAGGTAAATCAGAACACTAAAAGTAACTATAATTCAAAAAAAAACACTCATATTCAAATAAACGATTTAATTGGATGGTAAAAACGAAGCGGAAACTCAGCCGACAAAAAGTATACCGAAAGCAACGAAGTCGAAAATTCAAAAAAATATATATATAACTTAAAACAATTGAACTGCGAATTTATTGGAAAAACACTAATACGCATGCACAATGAGAGTAATAGACCAATGAGCGCAAATATACGCACATAATGCATGCATGTCGTGTACTGCATGCATGTCGTGTACTGCATGCATGCTGAGATCTTTTGACAAAGTTGTTTACGGGGAAAAGTCTAGTACCCGATTGCACTACCCTTGCTATCGGAAGGATAACACAATTAACTCAATTTGAGAAAACTGGATCAATAAGTAAAACTTTTATATCGCTAGGAAATCTGAAAATTAAAATCCTTTTTCGAAACAAGAAGTTGATCACGTTTTTCGTGGCCTTTATACTTTAGGAAATGAACTGAACTTAGAAAGAAATCAAAATTCAAACAGCGAAAAAAAATCAGCGTGCACAAGCTCTAAGACTTCCTGGAAAAAAAATCATCACGAATTATACAAGTCTTCACTACGTTCATCGACTATTTAAAAGGAAGGATCAACTGTTAACATATGAGCTGTTCAATTGTTTACTAAGATCCTTGTTGTGCCACGGATTAAGAACTAGATGTAGCATTTTTGGTTATTTTTCCCTGCTGAAAATTGCTGCCTCACCCTCAAATCACACGTACACTTCACTTCTCTGAAAAATTTTCATACGTTCTGTGTTACTAAGCACGACAGCATAATTTGGAACTTAGACGCACAAAAACGCACTGGACTTTTCAAATATGAACCCGGAATTTAAATGGGAACTGAGTGTGTTTAATTTGAAGAATGTCCAGTTCTCCCATAACGTACCTTTCTGATACTGCTGGTTGAGCTTGTACAAGTTTGCAGCCTTGGTCAGCAATTGAGTCCCCTGGTCTGCCTTTGCTCTTGACAATCCAAGGAATCCCCGCGTGAGTCCCAGTTGAGAAGAGGCCTGTTTGTAGAGTGCGTCTGCCTGTTGCACGCCATCACTACCTCTCTTGACGTCCATCGTTTGTTCACGTGTCTTGAATAGTCTGTGTCGTCAATTCATAACATGGTTACTTCTAAGGTTTCGTTGTTTAACAGCTCACTTAGATAAATACCGTAGTAAGTACTAGTCATTGCAGTCTGAAGATAAAGCTCATTTAAACATGGAAGCAACCAGAAAGCTGAGATATCTTCCTTGACTTTGATTATGCGAATGGTTCTCAGAAAACAGATTCTCAGACTTTTTGTTGCTCCTCGTCACAAAGCCGGAGAAAGATGATCTGTGTTTGCTGTGTTAAAAATTTTGCTCCAGATTTCTGTTATTTATACTTAATTTAAACACAGATACAACACAAACTTGCGATACAATACAAACACAAAAAACAGAAGTCGAAAAAAATGAAAATGTTGAAAAAAACAAGGTGAACCAAATTTTCCATGTCTCAATAAAATATAACTACGAGCCCAACTATAGCTGGAGGTACCTGCTTGATACTTTTTGAAATTGTTATACATATACAGATGCGTTATGAACTGGCTAATTTCAAAAATAGCTCTTTGTCCGAAACCTTAGTTCCTTCACATAAGCAAGAGTGAACAAGTTTTGAGGTATTGGAATTTTCCTAAGAAAGTAACATTTCTCTTACAAAATTCTAAAGTGTCCGCTTCGGCAGGAAAAATTCTCGCAACCACTTCTTTCGATTGAACTCTCCACCTCAGATATGATTGGGTAGTTTCCAAGACAAAAGTTTCGTCAAAAAGTTTCTAAAAAACGATCGAAGGTCGAAAATGTCACTTTCCGAAATCCATCACTTTTTTCTGCAAATGTATGTCGATGCCGCTTCAGCAGAGAAGATTCCAAACACCGGGTTGTTTATCAATTGATCAGTTAAACTAAGAAATGGCAGAATAGCTGTCGAGAAGTCAAAAAGTTTACAAAAACAGTCAAAGTTTCAAAACTGTCTTTTTGAAGGTCAACACTTTTTACTTAAAAAGTATCAATTTTAGCCAATTTTTAAAATAGACTCAACAACCTGTTGTTTCAATTATACCTGATATCAGATTCGCAAGATTTTGATTTTTCCGAGACTCATAGATACTTTGAGGGCAATTAATTATTTCGACAAAAAATTGGGCGTAACCTATCAGTTGATTCACTTTAATTTGTGATACCAGATTTGACAGGATAATTCAAAAAATAAAAAAGTTTCAAAAAAACGGTCAAGCGGTCAAGAAATCAAAATTATGACTTTTCCGAGAATCATAGCGTTTTGTGTGAAAACAATTGGGTGTATATGTTTATGCAGAAGAGGACGGACGCTGCAGCCTGTAATTTCGACTGATTCGAGAAACTGAGTATAATTTTTGAGAAAATTCAGATAATTCAAAAAACAGTAGAAACAAAAATTGACTTTACCGAGAATCATAGCTTTTTATGCAAAAAAATTAGATCGTACACGCTTATGCCGAAGCAAAGATATTCACGCAAACTGTAGCTTCGATTGACCAAAAAAACTCCGATTTGGGAGGGTAGTTCTCGAAATGAGTTTAAAAAAACAAAAAAGGTCAAAAAATCAAAGTTTTGATTTTTCGGAGGGCCATAATTTTTTTGTCTAAAAAATTATGGCGTAGCCGCTCATACAGGTGAGTTTTTCAAATCTATTCTTTTCATCGAAACCAAAACCAGATTCTAAAATTGGGCTTAGCCGGCGGCCATATTTTTTGCTGTCAAAAAAACTTGTGCGTAGTTGGGTAAGCAAAGGAGCTTCCCACAACCCTGTTCTTTGGACTGAACCCAAAACCCCAAGTATGGGAGGGTACTTTTCGCTAAAATTCATAGTTTAGAAAAAAAAACGTTCAAAAATATCAAAAATTGACCATTCAGAGGACGATAAGTTTTTTGTAACGCTTTTGCTAACCGTCATCTTCATTGAAAAAGTCGAAAAGTCAGGTTTGGAAGGTTAGTTTTCGGGAAGATAAAAAAAACTGTACAAAAATCAAAAATTTCATTATTCCGAGGGCCATAATTTCATGTGTAGAAAATTTTGGCGTAGCCGCTTAATGAGAGAGATTTTCAAATCCTCACTTATCATTGGGACAACAATCTCAGATTAGTTATTTTTGAGAAAACAAGAAAAAAATTTGGAATATGGGTCAAATATTCTCCCCACAGACTTTTTCGAAGGCTGTAGAAAAAGTGGTCAAGCAAAAGAGATCGGTGAAGTATACAGACAGATAAAGCTGTATGCGGTATTTCTACGAAAACCCCTTTTTTGAAAATCGGTTGAAAACTTAAAAATTTTTGCAAAAAGTTGAAATTTTGCAAAGCGTCTCAAAAAATTGAAATAAAAACCCAATCCTATACATTTTCAGTAAACTAATTTGTATCAAGCAGGAATTCTAGGCAAACATGACAAACAAGAACGTTTAAATTCAAATTGGCAACTGAACAAAACTTACGAAGCGGAAGCAAAACCGACAATCTTTGAGCAGACACCAGTAGAGCCAAAAAACTAATTTTGTAAAAAAAACTACTTAAAGTTTCAAGTTTTTCCTAAAACTACCCTGTAGTAAATAGTATTCACCCAGTGGTTAATTTAATTTTTCTTGCAATGGAGCACGTCAGCTGATTGAGCAAGTAATTCAACTGATTTGGTCAAACTAGTTGCTAACCCAAAAAAAAGTCTACATGACGACATTTCGCTTTGATAACGCTTGCAAATTGATAACGCTTGCTAATTAGCAATGGAACAAAACTTCCGAAGAAAAAACAAAGGCGACATTTTTTTTAGCAGACACCAGGGTAGGTAGCCTAAAAAAGATTTCATAAAAAAGCTTTCGAGCCACCCGTCCCCCTGAGATTGCAATGAACAACAATTGCAACTACCATGATACTTGCTCAGAGCACAAGGAAAATCCGTGATGTGGAAACTAAGCCGAAAAAAGTCGGACAAATCAAAGTTGACCGGAAATTTTTTTTACATTGCATGCATAATGAAAAAACAAAGTCCTTCCCGCATTCGAGCCCCTGACATTTGGGTACGCAGGCAAGGGCGAAGGATCCTTTAAGTTGTTAAGATTCAATAATGAAGCACATTGAAAATTGGTAAGAAAAGTTATTTACGGGAAAAAATCTTCTTCACAATTACAAGACACTTGCTTTCGCAAGTGTAAAGACCAGACTCAACTTAACAGATTGAGTCTTTTAGCAGATTTATAAACTCTTTAAGCTATATATACTGACTAACCAATAAGAAAACAGAATTCTTCAAATAATTAGTATTTTTATTATTATAAATGAGTTACAAATTTGGTGCGTGCTCCATGATCGCCCTGTTCGACTACCACTTCACTCTTTTCAAATCAACGACTTCAGTCAAAGATAACAACATCAACTTCGACCAACATCGGCCGATCAAAAACTCAATTCGCTTATCCGTTTGTTCAACATATAGTGCTTGCTCATACAGTTCCTCGTCTTCATTATTGTGAAAACTATGAAGATAATGCTGACGGCCAATGCACTCTGGGACTGTGAATGATAGTGAGATGATGACCACTTTAACTTTTTAAAACTTGAGACAGAATATCTATTCTGGATCTGGCATGGAATCAACTCGACAGACAAGATTTACTTCATCTTCTGGATCAACATAGCAGAGGCGCCTCCTCCCCCGTTGCAGATGCCAGCCAGTCCATACTGTCCAGAGGTGAGTCTGTGAGCCAGATGAGTCACTATCCTGGCTCCTGACATCCCAATTGGATGTCCCAGACTTACAGCTCCCCCATCAACGTTCACCTGCATTTGGACATCAAATCACTCGAACAAACAGAGAACCAATATCAATGGCGTCAAAAACTTCATGATTCAGTTCAATATTTGAGAAAATTTCATATTTTCATTTGGTTATAACAATCGGTAAAAAAATGGCTGTATCGTGGAAGGACAGCCTCATTAGCAGACTTATCTAAAAACTTATCCATTTACCACCATCTGTTACTTCAAATTAATATCCACTATACATCTGCTTAAATTTTTCAAAAATTACCTTTTCTGGATCTAGGTTGAGTAGTTTTATGTTGGCCAATGACACCACTGAAAATGCTTCGTTGATCTCAAACAGAGACACCTGGTCCATGCTTACACCTGCCATCTCCAGAGCCTAATACAGAACACATAGTATTCAAACAGACAGCACATAATTACTCATCAGCACTGCAATTACTTTTAAGACATGCGTGGTAGGGTCATATGATCTTTCTTTTTGTGGCATAATTTTTGATTACTCGCTATTGGCAAATTATTGGATACAATTAACGGTGCCAAAGCCCTGATTCGAAGATAAGCTTAAGTCTCTCGTCTGTATCAATGTAATCTTTTAATTTTTATCTTCAACAAAGCTCACTTTGGGCATGGCTAGAGCAGGCGCAATGGTGAAATCTATCGGGTCAGTTGCAGCATCTGCGAAGCCTGAAACAGAATCATCAACATGATCATCATCAGAACTACCATGCGCTACTGTAGTTACATGACAAGTTTGTTTGAGCTATTCGGACTAAATGTTAACGTGACCACATCTTAACCACATGCATATTATCTGATACAACTGTTCCCATCCATACTGTGAACATTTCTATATTTATAGCAGCATGATACAATTTTGCCGAAATTGGTCAAAGCAATTGACATATCTTTTGATAATCGTAGACGGAATACCTCCTAATTACAGACTGATTATAAGAATAGAACAGTCAGTAAACTTGCTAAATGAGCAGTCGTGTTTCCATCTTTCAAAGCTTTGCCGAAAAGGAAACAAGTCTAGAAAGGAACAAGTGCAATGAAACGCAATGGCTATTGATAATGCACTATGCGTTTAATCAGAGAGGTACTCAGCTGGTTTTCGATTTTCTTCAGGAAGTAAATCTTGCCCCATACTTTAAGTGTAATTGTTAAACACAGGGGCGAAGCGGAGCTCCTCATCACTTGCGATACAAAAATGAATGACTATGATTACCAGCAAACGAACAGACATAACCAAAAATAAAAAAAACCTTTGAATATGCAAAAAAACACCGGAACAAAAATACCTGCACCATTACAAACTTTACACAGATTTCAAAAAGCTAAAAAGAACAA